TATTTCACGGGTTATTATTACTATTATGATTAGAAACATAGTGAAACATAACGTGATCCGGAGCGATTTAAAAAAACGATGTTGATCGCCTAATGGTTGAGAAATCCACCGTCGGTTATCACGATCCGATGGCGCTATAAATCGCATATCACATAAGTAGGTACAGATAATGGTAATATTTTATACCGACCGGTCGAGTTGCCCACAATCCACATAACGTTATTACAGCCGACAAAGGCAGCAACAAGTACCTAAGCTCCAAGAGTGATTTTAATAACCTAGTCAATTCCTCCAATTCTTGTCCAAAAACACGCTGCAAAGATGGAAAAAAAAACATAATAAACGACGTATGCAATATTACCACTGTAAGTTAAGTATAACTATCAAAAATATGCAATTTGGCCATCTTAATTAATTAACCAGTACAGTTTAAACCAGCATAGTCCAAACCAAGTACAGTACAGTAAATCTGAGGCACAGTCTTAACCAGTACTGTCCAAGAATTCTAAACCAAGATAAGTCTAATCCACCACAGTCCGTTGGGTATACTTAATTTGTGATAATACAATAGGCCATTTTTCTTGATTTCAAATTTGTAAACCCAAATTAGCATTCAAAATCCCCATTATATACTTTTTGTGGGTTTAATGACAAAAAAAGTTGACTTCAAACCAAAAACATAACATTTGACAGCCAATTCCTATTTCATCGAAGCTGAGCAAGTCCGCCTTTGTCTTAGAAACTTTTTTTTATAATTTCAGAGAGCTAGTAATTTTTAATTACTAGTTCAATCATCTCTATAGTCGGCATGTTTATTTTAATTTGTCATTACAGAAAAAAAAAATTCCATGGCCTAGTATCTGTTGTGTACGTTATAAAGTAACATATTATCTAAGATTGTGCAACTGCACGTTTAAACTGCTCCGTCCAGTATTTAATAGATTTTTTTTTCTTTTACATTTATTCAGGGAGAAAACTAAATAGATCAAATCAATATAATATTATTATATTACAAGACATCTTCGTCTTGGACTATACCGGCCGTTCAGAATTGAAAACAAGATGTTGTTTCCTTTTGCATGATGTTATCCAATTAAATTATTGCGTACAACCGAGATCCCGTGTATTCAGGGTCGACAAAATGCCATTGACATTTGCTGATGATCATTACACGCGTGCTAGCCTGTGTGGACCGTGTTGAAAATCGATTTAGATCAATCAAGGATACACGGATCGATGACGATTATTATGTTCGTCTGCGGCTAAGATCGGTCAACACAAACACTGGTTCGGGGTTCAAGGTTGTACGAAAAACAGCGATGATCCTTGCCGAATAATAATAATGATAATTATATATGTATAGGTATCCGCCGTCTGGGAGATCCGCAGCCAGGTACATGGTCCGCCATAATGGCGAAAATGTGTTTAAAATAATGTATTTTTAGTATCAGGCTTGTAACCTAACCTAACCCAACCCGATGATTCGTTGCCTTGGTTGTCAATTATTGGCCAATCGACAAGTCAATGAACATGTATTTCGGACACCTGTTGATAACATATTATAGCAACCCAGAAACACACTACAGTAAGACAAGTGTGAACAATAAAATAAAGTTTCACTTAAACGTACAGCCCTTTTGGCAGTAAGGTTAGGTTAGGAAAGGGTTTTTGATACTATTTTGGGTTGTCAACTGACCATGTCCAAACAATATCTATTCCATACAATATTGGAAAGTATTATACTATTTTTAACCTAACCTAACCTAACCTAACCTAACCTAATCTAACTTAACCTATCCTTTTTTTTTTATATCCAAGTTTTTCTGCAAAATTAGAGGGGGAATTGTTGTTCACTTTGCTTCCCCTCTAGCCCGCCTTCAACTAAATATACACCCACACTAATATATACTACCTAACTAATATTGATTAAAACCTAACCCTAACCTAACAGTTTTTTTTGGGGGGGGGGGGTGCTTTTATCGGGGGAAATGTGAACACTTTTAAGTTTTTGGCCAGATAAAGCACCTTTTGGGTACGACTGCTGATCCGGTTGACTATTGCTACTCGAAGAAATCGGTCTAGTCACAAAAAAAAAATTACCAAATAATTATGCACCTCATTTGTGTAACATTGAAAATCTTTTTGTAATATTATGTTGGTTGGTATTCCTCGTCTTGCTCGTGTTTCAAGAAGGACATGATAAATTATCTCATTACAACAACCGAAATTGATACGTAAGTACACCGACGAGCTACACGGACCTCACGCGGTAATTTATCATCCCATTCTTGTTGTTGTTGTTCGCCTGGTTTTTCTTCGATCCTCGGATACTTGACCTTTAGGTTCATAGAACACAATATTACAAATAATTAGGTATTACCCGGCCAATGTCCGCGTTCCACTCTGCCCACTCCGCCAGACACATCTCCTAAATACATGAAAAATTTAAAAAATAATAATATGTTATGTATCAAATTTAATATAATAACCGCGTGGCAGAGCATATAATATTGTTTGGACTACTGCACACTCTGGTCGACACTAATGAAGCCCATTTAGGTATTTTAGTCGCCTGTTGGATAGTATTTTGGGCGACATTGTCTTTATAAATAATAAAATATAAAATTAAAAAAAAAAAAACCACCTCAAAATAGCCACTCAAGTTACTACAATTATTACACAATATTGGGCAATGTTTAAATTTTTATCTTTTTTGCTTTTCTCCAGAGCTCCATCAACTTTTGGTAGCTGAAATGGTAACGACTTTTCAAATTAAGAATAATTTAATGAAAATTTTGATTTGTCCACAACCAGCTTTGGACGATTACTTTTAAAGTCACATAAGTTTAAGAAAGGCGAGGTGCAGTCCACCATTCTTTCCCCTCTAAATTTCAAACATAAGTAACTTCAAAAGTAATATTATCCAAAACCGGTTATTGACCAGTCAACATTCCAAGTCAATTAAATGCCATTTAAGTTTCAAAAATCCATAGAACTCTGGAAATTATTTAAAAAAAAAAAAAAGGTAAACATTTAGTAACTTTATAATATAATAAAATAACCAAAAATAATGCCTTTTTCAAAATTGCAATTATTTTAAGAAAAAAGTGTCATCCTTAATGGATTACCTTTTATGTTGTAATAAAAATTTGAGTACAAATATTTTTTCTAATTTTTTAACCGGATTTTCTTATTAGATAAAATCAACAGCTAAACGCTAACCTAACCTAACCTAACCTAACTTAAGCAATTTTACTGTTTTAAAAAATAAATTATACATTTTATAAATCAATATCCGATTATTGTATGTGGCGTAAAAATGGCTTTGACTTGTAAAAAAACGTTTATGGCTGCCGTTTTCAACACTTGATTTTTTTTTAAGGTTTTTTTGTACTGTAATGTGTATTTTTTTATTCTCAACGCCATTCGACCAATATGATAAGTTATGACTAATAACGGATGTGCTAGAGGTATCCGCTGCTCACAATGGTGAAAGTCAGCATTGTAATTTTTTTTTTCTATGACTATTTTTGCGGTACCAAAAAAAAAAATATACAAATTTGTCTGTACCCATTCGTTATGTAAATTAGGCGCCGCCGCCAGACAAGTATGGTAAAGGTGCGTTGCTAGACATTAAAAATTCCCAAGGGGCAATATGGTATGGTCGACATTTCTGGAGACTCTTCTCTCGAAAAACCGCAACATTGTTTTCAGGAACCATCGTCGTTAATTACGTTTAAATCATCTCCACTAATGATTATTATTATTACTTGCACGGCCCACGTGCCCCGGCGGCAGTGTTTGTTATTTATTAGGTTTCATAATGCATGCATATCATGGTGAAACAAAAACACAGGGAGACTGTCTAAACATAGTAGTACCAGCACCTCCAGACAAAGTTAACTTGATAAAGTATCAGACCATCCAAGTAGGTATAGTTTTGTCAGACTTTTTGGTCTAAGACTTTAATAAACATACTCTACTGTCAAACTTTATAATGGTTTTGGCGTTATCAGTATAGTATGTAAATAGACTTTTCCAAATATTTAAAAAACGCACATCAACAGTCTATACCAAACGGCTATCCAGTTTAAATTCAATCAAGAGTTTAAACATGTCTTTGATCAAAAAATTGTTTTTTTTTTAAACGAATTGTGCAGAAAATTTAATATCAATTCAAGTCATGTTGAAATATTAAGCAAAAAAATAATTAATTAGATACGTACAATAACTAGATCTTATTCTTTATCTCTTCTTTTTTTTAGTAAATTAGATATTAACGCTTATTTGTTTACCTATACTGACTTCTATTATTATTTCGTTATAATCTACAATTATTATATTATTAATATAATATTGAACCATTCCCTAACACAAGCTATGCTTATTGAGGAGGTGTCAATTTGTCACATTAAAAACATGTTTTTTTGTAAAACTTATTTTTGCATTGTTGTTATTGTTGTTGACGAATCAAACAACATTATTATTAAAACGTCCAAAAAACAGACTACTTAATGGATGTACTTATAACATTGTGTACTTAGGTATGTTTTCCAGCAAAACATTCGGAAACAACAATTTAACCAAGAAAGAGTAGATTTTGATTTCAAGTAGACCAAAAGTTGTCAAAAACAGCATATTTTTCAAAACCCCAACAATAATAATAATAATCGCACGACGGCACGGCCAACGACACCTGTGGGCGCGACGGCCAACGTCGGTCTCGCGCGTGTCGTCCGACAGATGGCGGCTGTCGCGCTCGGTGGCGGCGGCTGTGGCGGCCGACCGACGTCCTCGGTCTGGCTGAATATTTGGCGGTCTTTGTACCAGGGGACCATGTGCCGACTGCGGCCGCGCCGTCTCGAAACGTGTGCGTGGTGCCGAGCGAGCGCCCGTTGAAAATATTATATACATGCGTTATAATATAATTATTGTTATTTCCCTCGCCGGCCGCCGCCGCGCCGCTCGCCATACGAGTAGAGCAAAACAACAAACAAACGCGGATGACGGTAATGAAAAAAATATGTTCTACTGCGCGTCGTCACTGTATTGTTGTTGCCGTAAACGTTTGTGTGCGATTTTCTATTTCGAAAATAAGTCTTGTAAACTTCCCAAAAAACTACACGACAGCAATATTATTACCGTCGTTTCGCCTCCGTCGGTTTCGACCGTGTGGCCACACGCACACGTGGCCGCGTTTTGTGCGTCGCGATCGGCCATTGCGTGCGTTCATCAACCGGCGGCGTCCCGTGCGTCGTCGCAAAACGGCTCGACGACAAAATTTTCCCGCCGGCGTCCCGTCGGTATCCATTTTGGACGCCTCGGTAACGCCGCGCCACCAGGAACCCAGGAGCCGCGGCGGCGTCTCTCCCGTTGTGGACGTTTTCGTATGCGTGCCGCAGTCGACCGGCTAGGCGCCGCCATCGTGTCGCGCCAATAACATACATACATATTTTGTTTTCCCATTTCGTGAAAATAACACCGATTTTTAAAACTCGAAAATCCACACACACACCCATAGCCCCTTTTAAAAAGCCGGATGCGACAAATAACAAAAAAAAAAACGGTTAATGTTTTTATATTATTGTTTGTATCCATACAATTTTACATCACCGTTCGGATCGTCAGACGGACAACAACGCACAAAAACCGACCGAGGCGAACGTGTCTCGTCGTCTACGGCCGCCGCGCCGACCGTTGTTGTTGTTGATTTCGTTTGCGGCTGCGGCACACACACCGGCGTGCGGACGAGCGGCGGCCACAGTAACCGGCCGGTGCGCGTGCCACGTACATGGTGTCCTGGTACCGGGCACCGCGCTGGGCTTGCAACAGTTTGCTACGTGCCGGCCAAAAGCCGAGTCGGGCTCTCCCGCCGCGATAATAACGTGGCAACCGTGTATGCACGATATGATCAACGGGTTAGCCGCGTGCCACGCGGTCCGTACGGCCGCCTGCGGTAACGGACCGCGCGCGCCCCTGAGATCCTGGTACCGAAAACCTACGATTCGTCGCAGAGTGACGTAACTGCCACGTTTTGACATGGTTTATGACAGGTGCCCGCGCGCGCACACCCGTTACTTCCACAGCCCCGCCGCCTACCGCTCTACGCTCGCCCGACCCTTCACCGGGCACCCTTTGGAGTTCCGGCGGCCGCCCGTCAATCGTCAAGCACGAGCTTTCCGGTTCCAGTAACGACCCGATCCGTCGCTTCTTTCAGTTATTGTATCAGTTACAAACACTACAACATTAATACATTACCCCCTTAGTCTAAGCAAGTAGAGACAAAAACTACAAACATACAATAAGATTTAATCAAAAAACTACTTAAATTATTTATTTATTCTTATTAACTACTTAAATCAGATACCTATTGACAAATTATTCGGATTAAAAAAAAATTTTTTTTTAAAAACTACCGTTTCAAAACTGTGTACATGCCCACGTTTATTGAAAGCGATAATTTTATTATTTAAATTAGGTATACAAAAAAATTAAATTTAGATAATCCGAACATTTTTTGTCCATAATATGACAGAACGTAACTTTGGTGAATTCGAATACTCACAACACTTAATGTAAACTAAAACACTTTAGAGTTGAATTAAATCATTATGTTATATAATATATTGCCTTTGCACTGGTGCGTCGAAAAATGCGAAGAAAAACGTTCACGATTTCATAAACAACAAACACATAATATTTTGTTATCCCTAAAAGTCCATATTATAAAAAATGTGTTGATTGCAACTGGTTGGCCTGCCTGAAAAACAACCTATCATATTTGAACTTTATCGCATTTCCAGATTTAACGTGACAACAATTCAGACACATATAATAATATTTATATTAGACCTTTATTTTATATACTATAATATCTTTGTTCTATTGCACCTAACCTACAGCGGCTATCGCTGTTATCACCATATCACTTATCACTTATCGCCTGTTGCACATGTAAACATCTTTATCAAGTAGTACACAGAATAAATTAAAATTAATGAGTATAATGAAATTAAATTAGTTTCATTTATTCTGTGATGTCAGCTTCATAGTACATGTTATACTATAATAATTATAATATGAAAGAATTCCATAATAATTATTGTTTCCACACTAATGTGGTCACACTGATTACGAGGTTGTTATCTCAGTTTTTGTTTACGTGTTATTGAACAGTTCATTTCATAATTTGTGATCGGCGGTACTCTGGGTCTGTACTCTGTAGCATTTTTGAAAAGCTCTATCGTTTTGTGTTTACATGTTGAAAAAAGTTTAAGTAAAGTGTGTGATTTTACACCTGTTATCTTAGGTCTAGCGATCAGAGGCCCTACTGGCGGTATCGTCGTAGCTGTCATACGTGTAAGTACCGAGTAATATTAACGTTGATTATAATATCGCCACAGTTATTTATTTATTTTTACAAGTCAAGTAGTTATCTACAGTTTACTGATTCAAATATGGGGGTCTTTTAACGATTTGCATACATTCGTTTTTAAGTCATGGAATTAGAGAAAGTAGCACTACCAACGGCCGTAGGTACGATAACTCTAGTCACTACAACCGTTTGCCGCAGCAGATGACACCTTTTTCCTATAGAAATTGGCCTTATTAATACAAATCACTTTTATCTGTTTGATAAGTTTGCACCCTAACTACTGAACCTAATGAGAACATTGTGAGAACAATTTTGTATGTAATTCATTCAATTACATACATTTGATAGCTTGTAACACCAGCTTGAGTCATTCCAAATAAAGGTATTTATTAAAATATGAGAATACTTACAGAAAAACAAAACAGAAATGTAATGCCTTTTTCGAGGTTAGCCAAAAATAATAGTACCTAGTACTGGTAGCTAGCTGCGCAATTTTGTTTTTTAATATTATAAACAATTGTTGTTGATAAGTAGGGAACACCGTATAGGTCAAACTGTTATTTTATTGTTAATCATGAGTTTTATTTACAATTAGTAATAATAAAATATGAATGATATACTTTTTACATTGTTTTATGTATCATTTCTAAACAACCTATAGTGAGATATCTTTTTACCAATTTAGTCAACTTTCCAGGTTATTATATTATGGTTTGCGCTAACAATAACGGTTGTATATTTCGGCATCTAAACAAACTAGAAATAAATTGTTTTTAAAATGTCATAAAACAAATAAATAAATTAAATGTTTATTTTACTATCTCTGTAAAAGATTGGAAAAGTGAGATACTACGTTGTTAAATAGGCCAGTCGATATTATGACGAGAAATATAACATCAATTGGTGCGATGGCAAAAGCTAATTAGCGTTTATCATATTGCCAATGGTTTGATTAAAGTTATTATCAATATTTGTATGTTACTTAGTATATTTTCTTTCTTAACAAATATAATCTACATTGTCCAGAAAATAAAAAATATTTTATATAAATTTATTATTTAGATGAATATGGAAACAGAATTTTATTTTTTGGCATAGAAAAACAGTAGGTTATATTTTGAACAAAAATTATTAAGGCTATGGTTGTTTTATTTAACCTAATCTTGTGTTTTGGTTTTTAAATGAGTTTAAACTCGGGCTATAATTTTTTTTATAGATAAATCATATGTTTTTGTTACAAATTTATTAAATCTAATTTACTAATTTATTTTTTATATTTTTTTTTAGTGAGGACCCAACGGAAAATCAAAATTAAAATGGAAAATTATTTTCAGGAGACTAAGATAAAAATAGAGGATGAAGATAAACAGTCGATAGAGCAGCTTACCAAAGCCCCTGAGAAAACATCCGATGGAGATGTGTATAAGTAATATGATTTTTTAATTAAATATTTTAATTACATTACAAAAAATAATATGATAAAGATTTGGATATGATTCGGTTAGGTTGGATATGATTATTATAATAATATTTTACAAATAAAAAAATATGTGCATCGAAAAATTGTTATATATTAATAATTAATATATAAAATGACTTTGTTCTTAGCACTTACCCAATTATAATATAGACTTAACGGAACTCAAAAAAAAAAGAACTGGGTAATATCTAAAATATAAAACTAAGCCAGACAGTAAGTAAATTAAACATTTGCAAGTTATAAATTAAAATTTAATTTAATTCATTGTTGACTTAAAAGTGTTTAATATTGTTTAAGAAAAAAAAACCACTAACTTTTTAGCATCCGGCTGAAGCTTAAGTCTTACGTTTCAAATTTAGATTGACTTTAAATTGAATAACAGATATGTATATTGTATGTTCGAGACACATAGAGCATTTTAATTAAATCTAATTTGTACAAAAGCTTTTAACAGATATTTTTTAATTATTTTTTTGTTTTTTGTTTTTAGTGACATAAGTACGTGCAACAAAACCATAGTTAAGGTCGAAGTGGACATTTTGGGTGGTAATCGTTTTGAGTCTGTAATTGAATATGTAGAAAATGATCTTTCTGGTACGCCAACGATAAATGACGATTTGGACGAAATATGTACATTTGTCTGTGACGTATGTAAAATGTCATTCGCTACCAAAAAGAAAGTGACACGACACATTACTCTGGCACATAGTGATCACTCGACATCCCGGAATAGCATTAGAAAACAAGTTATCAAAACCAAATCCAGGTAAAGGCACTTATTATTTTTTGTATACAGTTGTCAATCTTATTGTTTGATGAAAGCGCGATACCGTTCTTATTATTAAATTAGTCACAATTCGATTAAGAACATACTGTCTAATTCGCATCTAAACACTTATATAATTTTAAACTAGTAGTTATAACTTAAAGGATTACATTATATTCGAAATAAGGGCAAATAATGAAAATATTGTATTTTATAAAATAGAGGGGTAATTTTTTTGAAAAAAAAGGTTTGCTTAAAATAAAATATTTTTAAATATTAAGGATTACATTATATTCGAAATAAGGGCAAATAATGAAAATATTGTATTTTATAAAATAGAGGGGTAATTTTTTTGAAAAAAATAGGTTTGCTTAAAATAAAATATTTTTAAATACATCACAGTAATAGTAATATTTGATTAAAAAAACCCCCCACTAACTTTTTAGCACCCGGCTGAAACTAAAAGTCTTACGTTTCAAATTTAGGTTGACTTTTAATTAAATAACAGATATGCATATTGTATGTACGAGACACATAAAACATTTTAGATTAATTTAATTATTTACAAAAGCTGCATGATTCTTAACAGATATTTTTAAATACTTTTTTTCAGCTTTAAAATTAATTTTGTTTTTAGTGACATAAGTACATGCAACAAAACCACAGTGAAAGTTGAAGTGGACATCTTGAGTGGACATCATTTTGAATCTGTAATTGAAATTGAAGAAAATGATCTTTCTGGTACGCCAACGACAAATCACGATTTGGACGAAATATGTACATTTGTCTGTGACGTATGTAAAATGTCATTCGCTAGCAAAAAGAAAGTGACACGACACATTACTCTGGCGCATAGTGATCACTCGACATCCCGGAATAGCATTAGAAAACAAGTTATCAAAAACAAATCCAGGTAAAGGCAATCATTATTTTTTGTATACAGTTGTCAATCTTATTGTTTGATGAAAGCGCGATACCGTTCTTATTATTAAATTAGTCACAATTCGATTAAGAACATACTGTCTAATTTGCATCTAAACACTTGTATAACTTTAAACTAGTAGTTATAACTTTAAGGTGTGCATTATTTTCGAAATTAACGGTAAATAATGAACAAATTGTAATTTGTAAAATAGAGGGGTAATAATCAAATAAGTTATTTTTTTTTAATAAATATGTCGCTTTATGCGTTTAAACCCTAAAGTTTAAAATTTAAGACGACAGTTTCAGTTCAGTGGGTAACGCAAGTTTGTGAACGCATAGGCGCATATATCAACCCTCAGACTCAAAATTAGCACTCCTAAAAATTCAAGCCCCAATCCTTGATTTGTACGCATAAAATTGTAATAATGTTCATACTCTGTTGAAATTTGTTATTTAAGATTTTTTTTTTAAATGTTTTATATTATATCAAATAGTATGAAAATTGAAGGTAAGAACTTTTTATTCATTAGTCAGGTATACATAGTTATAACATCCCCTTAAATGTAGGTCTAGTTGCGCCTATGTGTGAATGTAAGTTCGCAAGTCTTTAACACATAAAGGATGGGGTGATATCACCTTGTAGATTTTTAAACTGTATGGATTATTAGTCAAATTTACTAGGTGATCGTTTTGCACAATCAGTACGTTTACTTAGTTAAAATAGAATGTATAATAATAATAATTTATAAATTGTGATATGAATAATTTGTTTTTGAACTTTATACTTATTGCTTGACAATGCTTTGTTCTAGTGTTAATGGTACAAGTAATGAAGCGAATAAAAAAATAGAAGGTTCTTCTACAAAATCCAGCCTCAGAAAACATCAACGAGCACACAATGGTGAAAAGTCCTACAATTGTGTAGTTTGCTTAAAGTCATTTTCTAATAAATCGAGTTTCGCAACACATGAACGGGTACACACTGGTGAAAAGCCCTACAATTGTGCAGTGTGCTTAAAGTCATTTACTCAAAAAGAGCACCTCACAACACATCAACGCATACACACTGGTGAGAAGCCCTACAATTGTGCAGTGTGCTTAAAGTCATTTACTCAAAAAGAGCACCTCACAACACATCAACGCATACACACTGGTGAGAAGCCCTACAATTGTGCAGTGTGCTTAAAGTCATTTATTCGAAAAGAGCACCTCACAACACATCAACGCATACACACTGGTGAGAAGCCCTACAATTGTGCAGTGTGCTTAAAGTCATTTATTCGAAAAGAGCACCTCACAACACATCAACGCATACACACTGGTGAGAAGCCCTACAATTGTGCAGTGTGCTTAAAGTCATTTACTCGAAAATGTGATCTGACAATACATGAACGCGTGCATACAGGTGAAAAGCCCTACAATTGTGCAGTGTGCTTAAAGTCATTTATTCGAAAAGAGCACCTCACAACACATCAACGTATACACACTGGTGAAAAGCCCTACAATTGTGATGTATGCCTAAAGTCATTTTCTGATAAATCGAGCCTCACAAAACATGAACGCGTGCACACTGGTGAAAAGCCCTACAATTGTGATGTATGCCTAAAGTCATTTTCTGATAAATCGAGCCTCACAAAACATGAACGCGTGCACACTGGTGAAAAGCCCTACAATTGTGCAGTTTGCTTAAAGTCATTTTCTAATAGATCGAGCCTAATAAAACATGAACGCGTGCACACTGGTGAAAAGCCGTACAAATGTGCCATTTGTTTAAAATCATTTTCTCAAAATGCACACCTCACAATACACAAACGCTTGCACACTGGTGAGAAGCCCTACAAATGTGATGTATGCCTAAAGTTATTTTCTGCTAAATCGACCCTCACAATACATGAACGCGTTCACTCTGGGGAAAAGCCTTACAAATGAGATGTTCTGCTCAAGATCTTTTTCTCAACACTTGAACTTCACAACACAACAAACGCGTGCATGCTGGCGAAAATCACTACAAGTGACAATATCTAAGACTCAATTATATTCGTAAAATTCAATTGGGTTATTATATTCTATAAACAATTACAATTTTTTTTATAAGGCCTATATAAAATGTATTTTTATATGTTATAAATTAACTAAATAAGTAATGCGTATTATTATTTGTAATAATTTTATTTGTATGTCAGGTGGTGACTTAAATATTTAATTATGTTTGCTTGACATATTCTATATTGTAATTAAAATTTAGAATACTTGCATTTTATTACGTTGTTACATGTTTTTTAAAAGAACAGTATTTGTATAAAATACCAAAAGGTGTCCCGCTAATACACGTTATCCAACTATTTTCCATCTCATTATTTTTTGTTCACTTATTTCCAGTTAGGTATTTAGCTGAAAGGCTATTGGTTTTATAAAGTTGTGAGCATTTTTTTTTGTGTACACTAGCTTTTATAATACTGGACTAATCTCTTTAATTAGTAACTTAACAAAGCATAAATTTTATCTAATTTTTAATTTGGGTGAATTAAAGTTAGAAAAATCTACTTCTTCACCCTTAAAATTTGTAAAAAAATATAAAAACACGGCTAAGATCTTTAATATCGCATAATATAGCCTCTATTTTTGTACAAAACATGTGTTTCTATTTCCAATAGAATGCTTCTAAGAGCAAACCAATTTAAAATTTTGATAAAAAGAACTTGTTGCCATTGCCGATATTTTAAATTAAATATAATTTTAGTGCATAATAGAAAAAAAGTATGTATATATAGTTGTAAGCTTCTCATGAGTTAATAAAATTAATTTTTGTAAAACAATTATTCAGCTTTGAGTGTCGCTAAACAACAACTTTACAATAAGCTACAATTTGTAAACTCATACAAGGCAAAGAGGTATCCTTTTAAAACAAATTGTGTCATCTTTAATATCTCATAAAGCCTATATTTAAATACAAAATACTAAACGTGTAAGTATGTTTGAAAACTGTTTTTCTTTACAAAGTGAAGAGACAATTTACTGTTGGTAAACTATTATCATTACACTAAAATGTTGTAAATATTGTTTTACATACTTTAAGTTTTATTGTAAGTTTGAATACTAAAAACCTATTTGAGTATAACTTTAATAAAAAAAACTCAAAAATGTGTTTTTAAATACTGAATTCGTAAATAATTTGACAACATACTTAATATATTATATCAATATTCTTTACAACTTTGTTAGTAATAATACATAAAGTTATTAAGTTATTAATTTGTTGTAATTAAAAATCCTTCACAGATCTGCATCTAAGTTTAAACAAATTGACTAGGTACCTATTGTTAAATCTGTACCTTTTTTGTTTCTTTTTCATATTAGGTAGTTGTACCTAATATGTACTAAATATAAAAAAAAAATCACTAAGTTTAATAATAATACAAATAAGAATAATAATTAATAATAGGTAATTATAATAATAAAATATAATTATAGGTAATAATAAATTATATTGATTTTTAAAATGGATTGTTTTTGTTAAATGGGATCTTATTCGATTTCTAGGCTGACCTAATATGTAATAATGGACCCAGATTCTAAAATAGCTTTGAAATACTAAATGAGTTAGTTGCAGTAAATGGTGATTAATTGGGTCTTGATTTAAAATGTGTTTTTTTTAGTGATAGGAAAATATTGTTTAAATTAATCTGGGAGGGGGCTTTTATAATTAAAAAAATGTATTAAATTATTGGGTATTGTTGAAAGTTAATTTTTATAAATTTTAAAAGCACTCACCAACTTTACATAATTATATGATATTATCTATTGATGGATTGATTAAACCACCGCGGGTTTTTATACTTATTAGCGACCTTGGTTCACTATGACTTCAAACTAAAGCTGCTGTGCATTTATTACAAATAATATGTTTTCTTAGCTTTGAGCAATATATATATATATATATATATATTACAGCTTGATTATACTCAAAAATATCGTCAATTGCTTGCTGTGAAACATTAAACTGGACATCGCCGCATATATTTCGGTCGTCGTTTTGCAGGAACGAATCATGCATTGATAAACCACGACGAGAACAATAATTAAAATTCAATATTTATATTAAATCAAATTATTTAACATTATGAAAAATGTCCTTATCCGGTATTATCATATTACTATTTGCCGTGATATTATTTCTTCCATGTCATACCTAACAACTCTCTCTGTCTCTTTTTAACGATATTGATCCGCAGACCTCTCGCTCTACTATCAGTTTATTGTCAATGATGCAATTTAATGCAAACATCTTTATCAATTTATACACAGAGTACTGTCAGTTTGATTGTATACTGTCAACATCAAGGTGGATTTATTATTTATTTTTTTAAATAAGAATCATTATATAATCTTGTGTTTTTATATAAAAAAGAAGTTTAAATTGTATGTATTAGGCGTGTGATTTAAGATTTCACACCTGTCGTTTTGAGTTCAGGGCCTTGGAGCTCCGACTAACGTTTTTGTAGCCGTGTACCAGTAAGTATTGAGTAACGTTTTGGTTGATTTTTATCGTTTCATTTGTTCTAATGAATTGATTAATATACTACATAGTATACAAGTCCGATAGTGATTTTTAAAACAGTCTAAACGATTCTTGCATACATACATTTTAGACTCGTAGAGTGAGAATCACTATCAACTGCTGTAGATTTGATACTTGATAAGTAGTTTAACACCCTATATTATGTCCATCAATCACCTTATTTCTTTGTTAACAATCTATACTGTGATATCTTTTTGCCAATTTCTCTGTTTTGCGTATAAAACCAAGAAGATTATAATCAATCAGAGGGATGGCAAAAGTCAAGTGGCGTTTGTCATCGTAGCAACGGTTTAATTAATGTTAATATTTGTATTTATATGTTTACAATTCTATTATCTTTTTTTATTAAATTCTGTTTGGAAGGAAATAAAGAAAATTATAATTGCGAAAATGCGAAGTGAAAATAATAGTACTTCATATTGTGAACAAAAACAGTTACGACTATGTTTATTTATATTTTTTGTCTTAGTTAGACTAGTATTTTATTTAAAAATTATAAGACTCAGGCTATAGTAATTTAATGATAAATCATAAGTTTTGTTGCAATTTTTTAAAGTGTTTTGTTTTTATAAAATTCTTTTAGCGCGAAACTAACCAAGATTACAAATTAAAATGAAAGATGAATGTAACAAGGCAGAATATTATTTCCTACAGAAAACAATATCTTGTATATATACATTTTTTTAAGCGTGTTAAATCTTAGCCTATAATAATTTTTTTTAATTAGATAGTAAGTTTTTGTCTCAAATATTTTAAATATGCTTTGTTTTTTAGAGTTATTGTAGCGAGCGAGAAACACACCAATAAAAGTAAAATGGACAATGATAACGACACGACCACAATCAAATTAGAAGAAGATAGTCAGTCGATAGAGCAGCTTACCAATGTTTCTGATGAAAGAACCAATTTAAATAATACTGAAAAATTATACAAGTGTAGTCCGATGACAAACATAGAACCTCAAAAAACAATCGGTGGAGATGCGTGCAAGTAATTTCAATTTTAATATACATTTTATTAAAAAGAAATTATAATGTGATTAAGATTTGAATTAGCAGTCCTTGGCAAATAATAAGGGGTTTTTAAATAGATAAATTATTAAACAAATATTTTTGAATACAAAACAGTAATGTTTGACTTGACTTTGTTACATAATATAGTAACTATGAAATTCCCATAAGTAGGTGAGTATACTTTTAAAATCAGTTTTCTCATAATAAAATATTTAAAATTTCAGTAGATTAAAATGTTATTGTACAACAGCTGTTGCACGATTTCTTTTAAACCAATTTAAAGTAATACCTACAACCTAATGTTTAGCGAGTATTTGTTAATCTTTTTATCAGCTATAAAATATTTAAAATTGTTTGTTTTTAGCGTCGGAGAAACGTGCAATGGTACAATTGTTAAAATTGAAGTAGACTTTGAGTTTGGACATTGTTTTGAATCCGTTATAGAATTTGAAAAATATAATGTTTTCGATGTTCAAACGACGAGCAATGATTTAGAAGAAATACGTACATTTGTCTGTGATGTTTGTAATATGTCATTTTTTACTAAAAGAAGAGTGGCCCGACACTTAAGTCAATCGCATAGTGTACACTCAATGGCACAATATGTCAATGGAAAACCAATTGTCCAAAATAAATTCAGGTACAGAAAGTTATTCTTTTAGGATACAAATATATTTTTTTTAATTTGGTAAAAAATGTTTAATGCATATATTAAAAGTGTTTGTGCATATAGGTGCATAAATAAAATAAATTTACTAAGTAGTTATTTGTACTTTGCATCTTACTTACCACCTTTTTAACTCTGTTCTCCAAATATATGTATGAATTTTATATGTATATATATTATATATTGTATGTTTTCTGTAGAATATATATAAGTACATATATTTATTTATATACATATTTTTTTTAATGTGTTTAATTTCGGCTTATAGTTATTTTTTAAAAATCAATTATGAGTTCTTGTCTCAAGTATTTAAAATATGCTTTGTTTTTTAGAGTCCCTGTAGCGAGAAACAAATCAAAAATCCAAAATAAAATGGATGATGATTACTATACGACCACAATTAAATTAGAAGAAAATAGTCAGTCGATAGAGCAGCTTACCATTGCTTCTGATAAAAGAACAAATCTTAATTACACTGGAAAATCATACAAGGATAGTCCCACGACTTATAAAGAATCTCAAAAAACAGTTTGTGGAAATGTGTATAAGTAATGTGAATTTTAATATAAATTTTGTTAATAAGAAATAATAACGTGATTAAATTTTGAATTGACATTCTATGTCGAATTACTAGGCGTTTGTGACTTTTAGATAAAGAAACATTTTCTGATACGAAACAGTAATGTTTCACCCGTCTTTGTTGCACTGTGTATCCTTGAAGTTCCCTTAAGTAGATGGTTATATTTTTTAAATTAGTTTTGCCACAATTAATTATTTTGAGATACACTAGGCTTAAATTGTATTGTACAGTAAGTTAGTTTGGTATTTTTATATGTACTTTAAACATTTTATTAATATGATGTGTGAGATTTAAAAGAACTTGGCTAAAATGTACAAAAAGGTATATTGCTGTTAGCATATATTTTTTATTTTACCAGTTATAAAATATATTGTTTTTTTATTTGTTTTTAGTATCGGAGAAACGTGCAATGAAACGGAAGTTGAAGTAGATTTGGTGAATGGATGTCGTTTTGAGACTGTAATAGAAGTTTATAAACATAATCTTTATAACATGCAAACGATGAACCACGATTTGGACAAAGTACATAAATTTGTCTGCGATATATGTAACATGTTGTTTGCTACCAAAAGAAAAGTGGCCCAACACATTACTCAAGCACATAGGTCATACTCAATAATCCAAAATGTCACTAGAAAACATGTTTCCAAAAATAAATTTGGGTACGGCAAACTATTATTTTATTATTATACAATTGTAATTTTATTGTCGTTAAGATAAAAATTAGTTATTATTTTGTCACATATTATTTAAATAGTTACTGTCTAAATGACAGATAACAATTTATAAAAATGTAAATAAACATTTTTAACGTTTATGATTCCAATAGATTTAAAATAAAATAAAATAAAAAACAAAGAGTTATTTACCTATAAATTTAAACTAATTAGTTTTATTAACAATAAAATGTATAATAGTAATAATTAATTTTTGCTGTAGTGTTAATGGAACGAGTACTGAAGCGAAGAAAATAATCGAAGGGTCTTCTACAACATCCATCCTCCCAAAAGTCCAACACGTACACACTGGAAAAAGGCCGTACAAATGTGCAGTGTGCCTAACATCATTTTCTCATAAATCGAGCCTCACAATACACCAACGCTTACACACTGGTGAGAAGCCCTACAATTGTGCAGTGTGCTTAAAGTCATTTACTCGAAAATGTGATCTGACAATACATGAACGCGTGCATACAAGTGAAAAGCCCTACAAATGTGATATTTGCCTAAAGTCATTTACTGAAAAATGGAGTCTCACAAAACATGAACGGGTGCATACAGGTGAAAAGCCCTACGAATGTGATGTATGCCTAAAGTCATTTTCTCGAAAGAACAACCTCATAGAACACAAACGCGTGCACAACGGTAAAAAGCCCTTCCATTGTGACGTATGTTTAAAATCATTTACTTGTAAATCCAGCCTCAAAAAACATGAACGCGTACACACTGGTGAAAAGCCTTACCAATGTGATGAATGCCTAATTTCATTTCATCGAAAGGACTTACTCGCACTTCATGAACGGGTTCACACTGGAGAAAAGCCCTATAAATGTGTAGTGTGCCTAACATCATTTTCTCAAAAATCGACCCTCACGTATCATGAACGCGTACATACAGGTGATAAGCCTTACAAATGTGCCATTTGTTTAAAATCATTTTCTATAAATGCACACCTCACAATACACAAACGCTTGCACACTGGTGAAAAGCCCTACGAATGTGATGTATGTCTAAAGTCATTTTCTCAAAATGCACACCTCACAATACACAAACGCTTGCACACTGGTGAAAAGCCCTACGAATGTGATGTATGTCTAAAGTCATTTTCTCAAAATGCACACCTCACAATACACAAACGCTTGCACACTGGTGAAAAGCCCTACGAATGTGATGTATGTCTAAAGTCATTTTCTCAAAATGCACACCTCACAATACACCAACGCTTACACACTGGTGAGAAGCCCTACAATTGTGCAGTTTGCTTAAAGTCATTTCCTAGCAAATGTGATCTGACAAAACATGAACGCGTGCATACAGGTGAAAAGCCCTACGAATGTGATGTATGCCTAAAGTCATTTTCTCGAAAGGACAAACTCACAGTTCACAAACTTGTTCACACTGGTAAAAAGCCTAAAAATGAGATGTATGCCTAAAGTCATTTTCTCGAATATTGAGCCTCACACAACACAAACGCGTGCATGCTGTCGAAAATAACAATATCTATGATTTAATCATATTTGTAAAAAATTATTTGTGGTATTATATTCTGTAAACTCTTACAGAATTTTTTTTTTATAAGACCTACATAAAATGTATTTTTATATGTTATTAAGTAATTAGTTAAGTAATGAATATAAGTATTTTTTAATCATTGTATTTGTATGTCGGGTGGTAATTTAAATTATTAATTATTTTTTCTTGATATATTCTATATTATAACTGAAATTCAGAATACTTGCATTTTGTTTTTTTCTAAACGAACAGTAATTGAGTAAAACACATTGAGAAAGGTTACGCGCTATTACACGTTTAGCCAGCTATTTTCCATATTATTTTTTTTTCGTTTACTTATTTCCAGTACGATTTCTTAGCTGAGTGGCCATTGGTTTTATTAGGATGTGAGCTTTTTTTGTGTCGGTTCACTGTAGCTTTTTTAATACTGGACCAAGCACAAATTTTAAGTGATACTTTGGGAGAGGAAAAGTTTATTAAATAATTAGTTAATCTGTTTTATTCATAATGTTTATATAATTTACTCAATTATTTGCCATACTTTTTTTTTTCAGAAGTAAAAATTTAAGTTATTAAATTTTTTTCTCGTCCTTTGGTATAGAACTATATTGCTAGGTTATGGTTGTCTATGCCGATATAAAAAACAGATTATAAATCTGAATTTTGGATTTTTGTAAATCATTGAAATTATTAAATTCGACACATGTGTCAATGATAAAACAAAATATACTTTGAATATTATAAGATTTTTTGTATTCTATAAAAACAATTTTTATGGTTTTATTATTATTTTTTTTATCGAAAACGAGCTGTTTTTCTTAACATATTTTGTTTTGCAGTTGTTTTTGTATTTAAATGTTTGACCTATTTTATTTCTTGTACGGTAGGATTTTGATGTTTTAATAATTATAAATGTATATATATTATTTTTTAAGATTTGAATATTAGAATAGTTGTATAATACTCACAGAATAAGTAAAGTTATATTTTATTATCTCATCTACTCAAACTATTTGCTTTTATTCCTTTATTTTGTTTTATTTCTTTATTATAAAATATCTATGGAGATGCGTTAAGTCGAATCAATTATTTCAATTTATTTGGTATAACAAATTTACAAATGTAAACTTATCATTCATTTTGATTATTACTCCATAGCAAATATTGCTATTGCGTCATTTCAGTGTGTGTGCGAGTGGACTTTCTAAATTCATACATTGCATGTGGAGTTAAAATATGATTATTTTAAGTTCGTTGTATGCTGGTTTTATACACTAATATTTTAACAGTTCTTTCTATGCATTACACGGACTTCTAAATTTTGTTTTGTCTGTTAGTTGAAACTTTAACATCGAGTTTGTAAACATTTTGTACTATTAATTATATTAAAACCCATTTTAGATCACAGTAATTGGAACTATTTATTTATTTCAAAAGTCAGTTAGTGTATCCGCTAATGTCTAAACATTTTAGCCTATAATTTTATATAGTAAAAGATATTATCTACAAAAAGTTAAGTCATGTTTTTCTTGTAACGCTATTGCGGTTTATAATAATATAGACAATATTTAAAATAACCCACGTAAGGTAATGTATTTTTTATTATATTATGTTTTTTTTAAAGTATTATTATCTACTCAGTTCAAGAACAAAATACGAAACAAAAACCATGATAAAACGCATATACTACCTACAAAAGCTATGCATGGTAGTTTCGAGAAAAAACATGTTATAAAAATGTATATTACAATTGACCAAATTTAAAAGGAAAAACATATAGTTTTGAATTTGCCTGTTAAATTCATATTTACTAACTTTACCAATTATTATATTTTATAAATTCAACATTAAGTCCTGTTTTCATACTATAAAATAAATTGAGGAAATGAATAAGCTTTATGAATATTGAGTAGAATAGAAAAATGTGTTTGCCAAATTTCAACTAATAGCCTTTGATGCTGCGATTATTAGTAGTAATTTAAAAATAATAGCTGTTGCGAGACGCGAAGCTGAATTGAAACTTCTTTTGGATTTGTTTGGATTTGATGGAATATAAGGCTTTTCAGGAGGAATACAAATACACACGAATATATGTATATAAATTTAAATAATACTTCCCATCTTGCATACGAATTAATTAAGTTTTATTCACCAATAACAATAAATATTGAAACATATGGGTTTTTTATCTTCCTAAGGCATTATCATAATATTACCCTATCACAATAGATCAAGGATATAACCTTGATGTTACAATAATTGTAGCAAACACCCATATATGTAAAACTTAACAGTGTTATCAATTATTAAAACAAAATGTTGTTTAAAAGTTGTATACATCTATGATGTATTATACATACAATACATAGTATAATACATCAATTATAGCAGTAAATTATATAATATGTGTTGACCCTGTTAACGAATAAACTCTTCATAACAGACGATCATCCCTAACTGAATTCCCTAATACTAAAAGTACAAGTTTAAGTTGTTTAATTACGTCATCACCTTTACAATGTGCTTTTATCGATGTTTAATATTTTTACGATCTACTAATTGGCATTGATAGTCTTTTTTGTTATAGTGTTCTTATCACTTTCAGTATACATTTGTACTCCCATTTCATTTTATATTAGATATTAATAATATGTTAGCTGATAGATAGATTTTATTTGTATTCTTTGTTTATTCAAGGTGCTTAGGAATCTGTATTAGTTGGGGATAATAACTAATAAGTATTGGATAATTACATTAAATTTTTTTATCTATAATTGTTGTAAAATCAGGGTTCTACAACGCAAGAAAATAAATAGTTCTAACATTTTAAGTACACAAATAATAAACGCAATACTTTCAAAAACAACTTGTTTTCGAAAAAAACAATAGTAGTTTTTGTAATGTGGATTATTAAAACTTAAAAATGTATGATATCTTCATTTCTTGATCATTGATTTACATGGCAACAGATGTTGTGAAAAACAACTTGTTTTTGATAAGACAAATATGAAACTATTCAAATAGTTGTAAAATACTGTATATTATAATGTAAGAAAATTAAATCTATAGCTTTTGTGTAAACATAAGATAGAAATCAAATTTAAAATGTAAGATGAATGCATAAAATATTAATGATTAAATAGATAAAGGCACTATAGTTATATAACAAAATTTGTTATGTAGCATAAGTTTTATTAATATGTTATGTGATTATATTATAGCTATATAAAAATAATTTTATTGGAAACTTGTTTTCGACCAAAAACCAAACTACTTTTTTTTGTAAAATATGGCATTGTTCAATGTGGTAAATTTTAAAGATTTTTCATTTTTTTACATTGTTACAGTGATTTTAGAAAAATAAACACCTAAGTACACAAACGACGAAACAAAATATGAAATCAACTTGTTTTTTTAAAAGAGCAATAATAAAGTTAAATCTTTATGATACCAACAGACATTCGTCATTTGTTTACATTACAACAAACGTTGTGAAATATTCGGATACATACAGTTTTGTTTCACTCTAAGAAGCTCTTTATGTAGCAAAATCTATTCAGGGGGGAAACAAATTACATTGTAATAATATTATAAAAATTTAGAAATAATTGTAAAAATATAAACTAAGTTCGATGTTAATTGGTAGTAATAGTTTTAGAATTATTCTTTTAACGTATTAAACTTGTGCTATAATATAATTTACAAAATAATGTTTGAATTTGCACTATATTTTTCTAAAAATATAGCGAATATAAATTTTATGTAAAAACCAATAACAATACTTACAAAAATATTTTGTTACCTACGTACAACTTGTTTTTTGGGAAATACATTTTTTTGGTTGTGTTCAAATTGTAATAGTAAATTTGTCGTTAGCTTTTGTGTAAACAAAAGATTCAACTATCTATCTTTTAGAAGGATTTCTATGGCTATATACTGAATCTGGGGTGCACAAATTTCTGGCTACGTTACTTGATACGACTTACGTGTTATGGATAGTGACAATTGTTTATATTTTCCTATAAATCCTAAAATACATAATATGTATCGTCTGTACCATTTATCGTAATCAACTAGTGAATGAAAAAAAATATTTTTCAAATTATATGCGTTATATAGCTACAGTAAACCTTATCTCTAGAGATCCTACATCATCATGCCACGAATTCACAACAGTAGCCCTAAATTTTAATTACATTTATACCTCACCCTCATCCCACCATCCCGGGTGATGATATTATTTTTTTTATATAAATGTAATTTTAAGACCTTATAGTTGAAAATATCGTGCGCGTGTATTGTTCAAATAATAAAACGTTTTCATATTAAACAACAAAGACAAACATTTTCAAATCTTGTGCAGCACATATCTCTCTATATAACATAAGCTGCAAACGTACTGTTGTTCTAGTATAGTCTTCTACAATCTTTGTGTTTTACTTAAACTGTAAATCCAAAAATCAATATTTTATTTGGCGTTTTAAATTTTCTATCTTTAATATACCATTGGATTATATCTAATTGAAAAATGAAATTTAATAGCATATATTTGTTTTTAACAACATTGTTTTGCGTTATCATTTTAGCGTATGCAGGTATTTCAGGTCGTCCTGAACATACGCAATCTAATACCCGTAAGTTTTTGAGACTGCTATAACTTAAAAAAATTTCAAAAGTAAAATTAAATATACTTTTTTATTATTCGTTTTTAAAATGTCCGTAAGTTGGATGATAATATCAGTTTTTGTGCTTTGCAAAGATACCACGAGTTTTAATATTAATTTCAATAAATCTGAAAATGTGTATAAAATGTTACTAATGTATTACATTGTTGATAATAAAAATAAGTTTATCATGTTCATAAGCATATTATTATATAGAATTGTACTTCTAGTTGAAAAATTGTTAAAAAAATATAATTTGTGGCTAACAAATTTAAACGCTTTAGATAAACAACCAAAAATGGAAAAACAAGTATTTAAGTTATTTTGTCTGTGTTTCAGCTCCAGCTCCACCATTACGAATGGGACACCCACCACTTCCGGGTGGTAAGTTTTTGAGACTTTAATAAAACCTTTTAGCTGTATTCAACTAAAATAAATACAATAACGGGCTTAAAATTTTTTAAAAATATATATGAAACCCTAGGAGCATAATGATAAAAAAGGCTTGCATTGTTATTAAACAAAAAATAACACTGCAATATCAGTAAATTAAATATTATTACGGACACTGTAGTCATTGTTAATAACTACTAGTGCTTTATAATACTAAATTAACTGTAGGTTTTGAATTTAACTTAGTCAGTGTAGCCTATACATTTAACAACACTAGTGTGAAAAGTACTACTCGTATGTTATTCACTTTGATGCAAAATTTTGTTTAAAAAATATTATTTTTTAGCTAACAAATGTAAACACTTTAGACCAACAACTAAAAATGATTATACCAATATAGGTACTTGAAAATTAAAAAATAAATTCAAATAACAAGTATTTGAGTTATTTACTTGGTGTTTCAGTAATAGCACATATAAATCCACCACCACCACCACCACCAGCACCACCACAACCGCCTGGTAAGTTTTTGAGACTTTAAAAAAACTTATAAAGGGTATAAAAGTGTAATTTAATATGTAATTTTATCATTGGTTTTTCAAATGACTGCAAGTTGGATGGTATTATATTTTTTTTGTGATTTGCATAGATACTAGCAACTTTTATATTATTTTCAATAAAAGTTTAATAATTTACTTTTATTATTATTTTTTTTTTTAGCTGGAAATCGACGATAGTTAAATTTACCAACAAAGCTGCAGTATCCAAGATCTGTGCCACATTTTGAAAATACATATGCTAACTAATATGTGTATATTGTAAAATGTTCATCTTAGTTTATCATTTTTATGTTTCAACCTTAAATTTTTTTAATAACATTCCAAATAACATTTTTTGTTCCCTATCATATAAATTACATTATGTCTATTACATACACCTGTCTACCAATAAAAATAATATTCTCCGAATAAGAAAATTTGTTATTTATAATATAATCTATTCCGAATTCTGCTTCCTCCTCTTATTTTAATTAATTTTAACTATTTACTTTTTATAAGCTATAAGCTATATAAATATTGAATAGTATAAAAAATTGTGTTTGCTAAAATTCATCCAACAACCTTTGATTCTGCGGCTATTAATAATATTTTAAAAATAAAAGCTGTAGCGAGACGCGCAGCTGAAGTGAAATTTTTTCGGATTTGTTTGGATTTGGTAGAGTTTGAGGTTTTTCTGGAGGAATAAAAATACACACAAATATATATTGAATTTATACATCCTAACTAACATACGAAATAGTTATACCTTGATTTGAAAATTATTATAGCGAACACCCATAAATGTCTAATCATTAATATCTCATATATTCAACTTGTATTGTCGGTTAAAATGTCTTTATTAATTAATATTGTTTCACCACTTAAGACATATAATTACATGCAGGACGAGGTAGAAATAAAAAAAAGAGGGCTAGAAAAAAAATCACTTCAAATATACATGATAAGCAATAGCCACATAGTTAAAGTTTACATTGTAAAAACAATACATACCCAAATATATTATATTAAAAAATATGTAATCATAAAAATATACTTTTATTTTACACAATTTAAGTACGTAAGAGATGTGCTTGAGATCTCATAACCCCCCCCCCCCCCCGACTTTTATGATTTACATAAAATAAAAATTTAATTTTTAATTTTTGGTTAATATTTGTGTTCTTATAACTATACGTTATTCGTATATAAAATACCATAATTTTCGCAATGACTGTTGCAATATAAACAAATGACAAATACATGTTGTTATTATATAGCTTAAGTTTTAACATAATATGAGCAGCCATATTTTACATTAACATGTTTGATACATTTATTATAGCTTTTTGAGAAAACAAGTGCTTTTGGACGTACATTATGTTATATAAGATAATAAGGGAATCTGAACGTATAAACACAATGACGCTAAAATGTATTAACTAGATTATAATAATATAAGATGTCTAGTAACATACAAAATGTGAATCATAATTATTTTTATAATATAACTAGAGGGCATGATATTTTAGCTTTGTATTTCGAGTTATTTTGAGTATTGTACTGTGGTCAGTGGCTACAACACAGAATACAATATTTAATTTATCCAATAAAAAATCGGCACGTTAGACTAAATCCTTTTCAAACAGGGTTATGTAAATTAATTGTTGAAAAATACTGTATATTATAACTTAAGAAAATAGTATTTAAAATACAATTTTAGATTAGATTTTATTTGTATTTTTTGTTTATTCATGATTTGATATTACTATTTAAAAATTCATCTATAATTATTGTAAAATCAGAGTACTACAAAGAAAGGAAATAATTAGTTCTAACATCAAAGTACACAAATAATAAAACGTAATGCTTCTAAAAACAACTTGTTTTATTAGCAGTTTTTGTAATGTAATGTTAAAACTTAAAACTGTAGGATACCTACAGTTCTTTGTCATTATTTTAGATGGCAACAGATGTTATAAAAATCAACATGTTTTTGATAAGAAAAAATAAAACTATACAAATACCTAGTTGTAAAATACTGTAGGTATATTATAATGTAAGAAAATAAATCGATGGCTTTTGTGTAAACATAAGATAGAAATCAAATTTATAACGTAAGTTAAATGCATAAACTATTAATGGTAAAATATATGAAGGCACTATAGTTAAATGACTAAAGGTGTAAAGTAGCATCCGTTGTATTAGTATGTTATGTGATAATATTATATCTGTATAAAAATAATTTTAATGAAAACTGGGATTCGACAAAAAAAATATATACATTTTTCATAAAGAAATACTTTTCTGGGAGAAATAGTGGCATAGAAGAGTTTTGAAATGTATTAACATTATTAAAGTGATCTGGATTAGCTATATCAGAGTGAGGTTTAAATATTTCAGACAAATGTTGTCTGAACACTTCAGCTTTAATTGTATCTTGTCGTATACGCACTTTGATACACGAATCGTTAAACACACACACACACTTAAAATCGACGGCAGAAAAGGTAACACTTTTAAATTAAGTAAAAGAAAAGTTACTCAAAAGTTAATAAACACACACACACAATTATAATATTCGTAAAAACAATGTAAAAAACAATAAGTACAAATTTACCTTCAGGAATGAACCACATATCTTGCCAATGATCCATTTTTTTAACCTTTTTGAGCATGTTTATTTGTTCCAATGTCGCTCTTGCAGACACTTCCATCGTGTAAATATGCTAAAACTAACGGAATTAAAAACTTTACGAATGCCTTATTTTCCATCTTTAATCTTGTAGATTTGAACAAAATTTGTAGACAATAGATATGTTCCTATTCTTACTAGAACGCTTCTAAGAGCCCACTAATTTAAATCTTGATAACAAAATTTACATTACAAAGCACGAAAGTAGCACAATTTAAAAAAGAATTTTTAGTTATTTTATTATTTCCATTTGAAAAAAATGACTGTATTTTGAAATATTTATTATTTATATCAACAACATCAAAAATGAATTTTAAATGATGCATTGAACAAGTATTAAAAAATATATATACCATATTAATATACCCAGGGTATATATACAATGATTCGACAAAAGAAAATAACTTTTGTTCTAGTGAATATATTTAATTCTTACAACCTTATATTTGTGAGATCAATTTGACATTTAAAAATTTAGCCTCGAGCCCGCGCGCTAAAATATTTATCTTCACTGATTTATACCTACAGCCTGCCATCGCGGCCGCCGCAGTTATCACTTACTGTACAAGCAAACACATTCTTATCAAGTAGGTTGTATACAGAGTAGACTGTCAACATCATGGTGGATATATCATCTTTTTTTTAAAACTCTTAATATTATGTCGTGTGTTTACATATAAATAAAGTTTAAATTGCATAAAGTGTGTGATTAAAGATTTTATACCTGACGTTTTAGGTTTAAGGCTAGGAGCTCCGACCAAGGGTTTCGTAGCCGTATATCAGTAAGTCGTGAGTAACATTTTGGTTAATTATTATCATTTTATTTGTTCTAATGAATGGATTAGTTTTCTACATAGTATACAAGTTCGATAGTGATTTTTATTACGGTCTAAACGATTCATGCGTACAACAATTATAGACTCGTAGAGTGAGATTCGCTATCAACGGCTGTAGTTACGATAACTCTAGTCACTACAGCCATTCGCCACAGTAGATGCCACTTTTTTCTTATATAAATTGGCCTCATTAATAAAAAACACTTTTTCTTATGTTTGGTAAATTTGCACCCTAACTACTGAACTAATTAAGAAAAGTTTTGTGTGTTATTCAATTACTTGCATTTGATAACATGTACGACCAGAGTGAGCCATTCCAAATGGAGATATTTATTAAAATATGAGAATAAGTAATTCCAGAACCGCACAAAGAAAATGTAATGCCTTGTTTATGTATGCCAGACAATTTACAAAAAAATTAGTAGTTGGATAATGGCATTAGCTGCGCAATTTTGTTTCTTTTATTTTATAAACCATTGATAATACATTGTTAGCTATTTTATTGTTAACCATGAGTTCTATTTAAAATTAGTATTAATACTATTTGAATAATACACTTTTTATATTAATATATATCATCTGTAAGCAACCTATATTGAGATATCTTTTTTCTAAATTAGTCAACTTCCCAGGTTATTATATCGTAGTTTGCGCCAATAATAACAGTCGTATATCTCGTCATCTAAACAAACTAGAAATAAATTACTTTTAAAATGTCATGAAACATAAATTTGAATAAAATTTAAATGTTCATTTTGCTCTCCTGAGAAAATTTGGAAAAAGACATTGTTTAATAGGGCAGTCGATATTATGACGAGAAATATAACATCAATTAATGCAATGGCAAAAGCCATTTACCGTTAATCAACGATGGTTTGATTAAAGTTATTTTTAATGTTTGTATGTTAACAAGTATATTTTTTTCTTAACAAATATAATCTATGTTTGCCAGAAAAAAATACAAACTTTTATACATATTTATTATTTAAGAGTAGATGTAAATGGAATTTGAAATTTAATTTTTGAATGAAAATAGTTACGGTTTTGTTTGTTTTATTTATTTGTGTTAGTCCTTGTATTTTAATTTTTTAATGAGTTTAAAGTCGGCCTATAGTTTATTTTTGAGAGATAAATCATGTTTTTTTGTTCAAATTTTATTAAATCAAATTTATTTTTTATAGTTTTTTTTAGTGAGGAACCACCCAGAATTGAAACTAAAATGGACAATTATATCCAGACAACCAAGATAAAAATAGAGGACGAAAATAAACAGTCTATAGAGCAGTTTACCAAAGACTCTGAGAAAACAACCGATGGAGATGCGTCTAAGTAATATTAGTTTTAAATTAAATATTTTAAATACATTTAAAAAATAATGTAATAAATGTTTGGATATGATTTGAATGCTATCGAAAATGTATCAGAACAATAATAAATATATAATAATTTTAATTACATTTCAAAAATAATATGTAGTATTTTAAATATTATCTGTATATATCTGTTTACAAAACGGCAACGTTTAATCTGACTTTGTAATACCGAATGTGTTATTATCCATGATGTTAACAAAATAAGTAGTTATATCTTTAAAATAGGTTTGCTTACAATAAAATATTTTTAAATACATCACAGTAATAGTAATATTTGTTTAAAAAAAAACCCCTCTAACTTTTTAGCACCCGGCTGAAACTAAAAGTCTTACGTTTCAAATTTAGGTTGACTTTTAATTAAATAACAGATATGCATATTGTATGTACGAGACACATAAAACATTTTAGATTAATTTAATTATTTACAAAAGCTGCATGATTCTTAACAGATATTTTTAAATACTTTTTTTCAGCTTTAAAATTAATTTTGTTTTTAGTGACATAAGTACGTGCAACAAAACCATATTTAAGGTCGAAGTGGACATTTTGGGTGGTAATCGTTTTGAGTCTGTATTTGAATATGAAGAAAATGATCTTTCTGGTACGCCAACGATAAATGACGATTTGGACGAAATATGTACATTTGTCTGTGACATATGTAAAATGTCATTCGCTAGCAAAAAGAAAGTGACACGACACATTACTCTGGCGCATAGTGATCACTCGACATCCCGGAATAGCATTAGAAAACAAGTTATCAAAAACAAATCCAGGTAAAGGCAATCATTATTTTTTGTATACAGTTGTCAATCTTATTGTTTGATGAAAGCGCGATACCGTTCTTATTATTAAATTAGTCACAATTCGATTAAGAACATACTGTCTAATTTGCATCTAAACACTTGTATAACTTTAAACTAGTAGTTATAACTTTAAGGTGTGCATTATTTTCGAAATTAACGGTAAATAATGAACAAATTGTAATTTGTAAAATAGAGGGGTAATAATCAAATAAGTTATTTTTTAAAATAAATATGTCACTTTATGCGTTTAAACCCTAAAGTTTAAAATTTAAGACGACAGTTTCAGTTCAGTGGGTAACGCAAGTTTGTGAACGCATAGGCGCATATATCAACCCTCAGACTCAAAATTAGCACTCCTAAAAATTCAAGCCCCAATCCTTGATTTGTACGCATAAAATTGTAATAATGTTCATACTCTGTTGAAATTTGTTATTTAAGATTTTTTTTTTTTAATGTTTTATATTATATCAAATAGTTTGAAAATTGAAGGTAAGAATTATTTATTCATTAGTCAGGTATACATAGTTATAACACCCCCTTAAATGTAGGTCTAGTTGCGCTTATGTGTGAATGTAAGTTCGTAAGGCTTTAACACATAAAGGATGGAATGATATCACCTTGTATATTTCTAAACTGGATGGATTAGTCAAATCTACTAGGTAATTTTTTTGCACAATCAGTACGTTTACTTAGTTAAAATAGAATGTATAATAATAATAATTTATAAATTGTGAGATGAATAATTTGTTTTTGAACTTTATACTTATTGCTTGTCAATGCTTTATTCTAGTGTTATCGGTACAAGTAATGAAGCGAATAAAATAATAGAAGGTTCTTCTACAAAATCCAGCCTCAGAAAACACCAACGAGCACACAATGGTGAAAAGCCCTACAATTGTGCAGTTTGCTTGAAGTCATTCACTCAAAAACGTGATCTGACAATTCATGAACGGGTTCACACCGGCGAAAAGCCCTACGAATGTGATGTATGCCTAAAGTCATTTTCTGTTAAATCGAACCTCACAAGTCATGAACGCGTTCACACTGGTGAGAAGCTCTACAAATGTGATGTATGCCTAAACTCATTTTCTGTTAAATCGAGCCTCACAAGTCATAAACGCGTGCACACTGGTGAGAAGCCCTACAATTGTGCAGTGTGCTTAAAGTCATTTATTCGAAAAGAGTACCTCACAACACATCAACGCGTGCACACTGGTGAAAAGTACTACAATTGTGCAGTTTGCTTAAAGTCATTTTCTGTTAAATCGAGCCTCACAAAACATGAACGCGTGCACACCGGCGAAAAGCCCTACAAATGTGCCATGTGCTTAACGTCATTTTCTCATAAATCGAGCCTCACAGTACATCAACGCGTACACACTGGTGAAAAGCCCTACAATTGTGCAGTTTGCTTAAATTCATTTTCTATTAGATCGAGCCTAATAAAACATGAACGCGTGCACACTGGTGAAAAGCCCTACAATTGTGCAGTGTGCTTAAAGTCATTTATTCGAAAAGAGTACCTCAAAACACATCAACGCGTGCACACTGGTGAAAAGCCCTACAATTGTGCAGTGTGCCTAAAGTTATTTTCTGAAAAATCGAGCCTCACAAAACATGAACGCGTGCACACTGGTGAGAAGCCCTACAAATGTGATGTATGCCTAAAGTTATTTTCTGCTAAATCGAACCTCACAAGGCATGAACGCATTCACACCGGTGAAAAGCCTTACAATTGAGATATTCTGCTCAAGATCTTTTTCTCGACACTCGAACTTCACAACACATAAACGCGTGCATGCTGGCGAGAATCACTTCAAATGACATTATTAATGTTTCAATTATATTCGTCAAAATTTAATTAGGGTATTATATTCTATAAACACTTACAATTTTTTTTATAAGGCCTTTATAAAATGTATTTTTATATGTTATAAATTAACTAAATATGTAATGCGTATTATTATTTGTAATAATTTTATTTGTATGTCAGGTGGTGACTTAAATATTTAATTATGTTTGCTTGACATATTATATATTGTAATTAAAATTTAGAATACTTGCATTTTATAAAGTTGTTACATGTTTTTTAAAAGAACAGTATTTGTATAAAATACCAAAAGGTGTCGCGCTAATACACGTTATCCAACTATTTTCCATCTCATTATTTTTTGTTCACTTATTTCCAGTTAGGTATTTAGCTGAAAGGCTATTGGTTTTATAAAGTTGTGAGCATTTTTTTTTGTGTACGCTAGCTTTTATAATACTGGACTAATTCCTTTAATTAGTAACTTTACAAAGCATAAATTTTATCTAATTTTTAATTTGGGTGAATTAAAGTTAGAAAAATCTACTTCTTCACCCTTAAAATTTGTAAAAAAATATAAAAACACGGCTAAGATCTTTAATATCGCATAATATAGCCTCTATTTTTGTACAAAACATGTGTTTCTATTTCCAATAGAATGCTTCTAAGAGCAAACCAATTTAAAATGTTGATAAAAAGAACTTGTTGCCATTGCCGATATTTTAAATTAAATATAATTTTAGTGCATAATAGAAAAAAAGTATGTATATATAGTTGTAAGCTTCTCATGAGTTAATAAAATTAATTTTTGTAAAACAATTATTCAGCTTTGAGTGTCGCTAAACAACAACTTTACAATAAGCTACAATTTGTAAACTCATACAAGGCAAAGAGGTATCCTTTTAAAACAAATTGTGTCATCTTTAATATCTCATAAAGCCTATATTTAAATACAAAATACTAAACGTGTAAGTATGTTTGAAAACTGTTTTTCTTTACAAAGTCAAGAGACAATTTACTGTTGGTAAACTATTATCATTACACTAAAATGTTGTAAATATTGTTTTACATACTTTAAGTTTTATTGTAAGTTTGAATACTAAAAACCTATTTGAGTATAAAAAAACTCAAAAATGTGTTTTTAAATACTGAATTCGAAAATAATTTGACAACATACTTAATATATTATATCAATATTCTTTACAACTTTGTTAGTAATAATACATAAAGTTATTAAGTTATTAATTTGTTGTAATTAAAAATCCTTCACAGATCTGCATCTAAGTTTAAACAAATTGACTTGGTACCTATTGTTAAATCTGTACCTTTTTTGTTTCTTTTTCATATTAGGTAGTTGTACCTAATATGTACTAAATATAAAAAAAAAATCACTAAGTTTAATAATAATACAAATAAGAATAATAATTAATAATAGGTAATTATAATAATAAAATATTTGATTTATAAAATATGATTTTTAAAATGGATTGTTTTTGTTAAATGGGATCTTATTCGATTTGTAGGCTGACCTAATATGTAATAATGGACCCAGATTCTAAAATAGCTTTGAAATACTAAATGAGTTAGTTGCAGTAAATGGTGATTAATTGGGTCTTGATTTAAAATGTGTTTTTTTTAGTGATAGGAAAATATTGTTTAAATTAATCTGGGAGGGGGCTTTTATAATTAAAAAAATGTAATAAATTATTGGGTATTGTTGAAAGTTAATTTTTATAAATTTTAAAAGCACTCACCAACTTTACATAATTATATGATATTATCTACTGATGGATTGATTAAACCACCGCGGGTTTTTATACTTATTAGCGACCTTGGTTCACTATGACTTCAAACTAAAGCTGCTGTGCATTTATTACAAATAATATGTTTTCTTAGCTTTGAGCAATATATATATATATTACAGCTTTATTATACTCAAAAATATCGTCAATTGCTTGCTGTGAAACATTAAACTGGATATCGCCGCATATATTTCGGTCGTCGTTTTGCAGGAACGAATCATGCATTGATAAACCACGACGAGAACAATAATTAAAATTCAATATTTATATTAAATCAAATTATTTAACATTATGAAAAATGTCCTTATCCGGTATTATCATATTACTATTTGCCGTGATATTATTTCTTCCATGCCATACCTAACAACTCTCTCTGTCTCTTTTTAACGATATTGATCCGCAGACCTCTCGCTCTACTATCAGTTTATTGTCAATGATGCAATTTAATGCAAACATCTTTATCAATTTATACACAGAGTACTGTCAGTTTGATTGTATACTGTCAACATCAAGGTGGATTTATTATTTATTTTTTTAAATAAGAATCATTATATAATCTTGTGTTTTTATATAAAAAAGAAGTTTAAATTGTATGTATTAGGCGTGTGATTTAAGATTTCACACCTGTCGTTTTGAGTTCAGGGCCTTGGAGCTCCGACTAACGTTTTTGTAGCCGTGTACCAGTAAGTATTGAGTAACGTTTTGGTTGATTTTTATCGTTTCATTTGTTCTAATGAATTAATTAATAATCTACATAGTTTACAAGTCTGATAGTGATTTTAAAAACAGTCTAAACGATTCTTGCATACATAAATTTTAGACTCGTAGAGTGAGAATCACTATCAACGGCTGTAGATTTGATACTTGATAAGTAGTTTAACACCCTATATTATGTCCATCAATCACCTTATTTATTTGTTAACAATCTATACTGTGATATCTTTTTGCCAATTTCTCTGTTTTGCGTATAAAACCAAGAAGATTATAATCAATCAGAGGGATGGCAAAAGTCAAGTGGCGTTTGTCAACGTAGCAACGGTTTAATTAATGTTAATATTTGTATTTATATGTTTACAATTCTATTATCTTTTTTTATTAAATTCTGTTTGGAAGGAAATAAAGAAAATTATAATTGCGAAAATGCGAAGTGAAAATAATAGTACTTCATATTGTGAACAAAAACAGTTACGACTATGTTTATTTGTATTTTTTGTCTTAGTTAGACTAGTATTTTATTTAAAAATCATTAGACTCAGGCTATAGTAATTTAAAGATAAATCATAAGTTTTGTTGCAATTTTTTAAAGTGTTTTGTTTTTATAAAATTCTTTTAGCGCGAAACTAACCAAGATTACAAATAAAAATGAAAGATGAATGTTACAAGGCAGAATATTATTTCCTACAGAAAACAATATCTTGTATGTATACATTTTTTTAAGCGTGTTAAATCTTAGCCTATAATAATTTTTTTTAAATAGATAATAAGTTTTTGTCTCAAATATTTTAAATATGCTTTGTTTTTTAGAGTTATTGTAGCGAGCGAGAAACACACCAATAAAAGTAAAATGGACAATGATAACGACACGACCACAATCAAATTAGAAGAAGATAGTCAGTCGATAGAGCAGCTTACCAATGTTTCTGATGAAAGAACCAATTTAAATAATACTGAAAAATTATACAAGTGTAGTCCGATGACAAACATAGAACCTCAAAAAACAATCGGTGGAGATGCGTGCAAGTAATTTCAATTTTAATATACATTTTATGAAAAAGAAATTATAATGTGATTAAGATTTGAATTAGCAGTCCTTGGCAAATAATAAGGGGATTTTAAATAGATAAATTATTAAACAAATATTTTTTAGTACAAAACAGTAATGTTTGACTTGACTTTGTTACATAATATAGTAACTATGAAATTCCCATAAGTAGGTGAATATACTTTTAAAATCAGTTTTCTCATAATAAAATATTTACAATTTCAGTAGATTAAAATGTTATTGTACAACAGCTGTTGCACGATTTCTTTTAAACCAATTTAAAGTAATACCTACAACCTAATGTTTAGCGAGTATTTGTTAATCTTTTTATCAGCTATAAAATATTTAAAATTGTTTGTTTTTAGCGTCGGAGAAACGTGCAATGGTACAATTGTTAAAATTGAAGTAGACTTTGAGTTTGGACATTGTTTTGAATCCGTTATAGAATTTGAAAAATATAATGTTTTTGATGTTCAAACGACGAGCAATGATTTAGAAGAAATACGTACATTTGTCTGTGATGTTTGTAATATGTCATTTTTTACTAAAAGAAGAGTGGCCCGACACATAAGTCAATCGCATAGTGTACACTCAATGGCACAATATGTCAATGGAAAACCAATTGTCCAAAATAAATTCAGGTACAGAAAGTTATTCTTTTAGGATACAAATATATTTTTTTAATTTGGTAAAAAATGTTTAATGCATATATTAAAAGTGTTTGTGCATATAGGTGCATAAATAAAATAAATTTACTAAGTAGTTATTTGTACTTCGCATCTTACTTACCACCTTTTTAACTCTGTTCTCCAAATATATGTTTGAATTTTATATGTATATATATATATATATATTGTATGTTTTCTGTAGAATATATATGAGTACATATATTTATTTATATACATATTTTTTTTAATGTGTTTAATTTCGGCTTATAGTTATTTTTTAAAAATCAATTATGAGTTCTTGTCTCAAATATTTAAAATATGCTTTGTTTTTTAGAGTCCCTGTAGCGAGAAACAAATCAAAAATCCAAAATAAAATGGATGATGATTACTATACGACCACAATTAAATTAGAAGAAAATAGTCAGTCGATAGAGCAGCTTACCATTGCTTCTGATAAAAGAACAAATCTTAATTACACCGGAAAATCATACAAAGATATTCCCACGACTTATAAAGAATCTCAAAAAACAGTTGGTGGAAATGTGTATAAGTAATGTGAATTTTAATATAAATTTTGTTAATAAGAAATAATAACGTGATTAAGGTTTAGATTGACATTCTATGTCGAATAACTAGGCGTTTGTGACTTTTAGATAAAGAAATATTTTCTGATACGAAACAGTAATGTTTCACCTGTCTTTGTTGCACTGTGTATCCTTGAAGTTCCCTTAAGTAGATGGTTATATTTTTTAAATTAGTTTTGCCACAATTAATTATTTTGAGATACACTAGGCTTAAATTGTATTGTACAGTAAGTTAGTTTGGTATTTTTATATGTACTTTAAACATTTTATTAATATGATGTGTGGGATTTAAAAGAACTTGGCTAAAATGTACAAAAAGGTATATTGCTGTTAGCATATATTTTTTATTTTACCAGTTATAAAATATATATTTTTTTTTATTTGTTTTTAGTATCGGAGAAACGTGCAATGAAACGGAAGTCGAAGTAGATTTGGTGAATGGATGTCGTTTTGAGACTGTAATAGAAGTTTATAAACATAATCTTTATAACATGCAAACGATGAACCACGATTTGGACAAAGTACATAAATTTGTCTGCGATATATGTAAAATGTTGTTTGCTACCAAAAGAAATGTGGCCCAACACATTACTCAATCACATAGGTCATACTCAATAATACAAAATGTCACTAGAAAACATGTTTCCAAAAATAAATTTGGGTACGGCAAACTATTATTTTATTATTATACAATTGTAATTTTATTGTCGTTAAGATAAAAATTAATTATTATTCTTATTATTATTTTGTCACATATTATTTAAATAGTTACTGTCTAAATGACAGATAACAATTTATAAAAATGTAAATAAACATTTTTAACGTTTATGATTCCAATAGATTTAAAATAAAATAAAATAAAAAACAAAGAGTTATTTACCTATAAATTCAAACTAATTAGTTTTATTAACAATAAAATGTATAATAGTAATAATTAATTTTTGATGTAGTGTCAATGGAACGAGTACTGAAGCGAAGAAAATAATCGAAGGGTCTTCTACAAAATCCATCCTCCCAAAAGTCCAACACGTACACACTGGAAAAAGGCCGTACAAATGTGCAGTGTGCCTAACATCATTTTCTCATAAATCGAGCCTCACAATACACCAACGCTTACACACTGGTGAGAAGCCCTACAATTGTGCAGTGTGCTTAAAGTCATTTACTCGAAAATGTGATCTGACAAAACATGAACGCGTGCACACTGGTGAAAAGCTCTACAATTGTGCAGTTTGCTTGAAGTCATTCGCTCAAAAATGTGATCTGACAAAACATGAACGCGTGCATACAGGTGAAAAGCCCTACAAATGTGCCATTTGTTTAAAATCATTTTCTCAAAATTCAAACCTCACAATACACAAACGCGTACACACTGGTGAAAAGCCCTACAATTGTGCAGTTTGCTTGAAGTCATTCGCTCAAAAATGTGATCTGACAAAACATGAAAGCGTGCATACACGTGTAAAGCCCTATAAATGTGATGTATGCCTTAAGTCATTTTCTCAAAAATGTGATCTGACAAAACATGAACGCGTGCATACAAGTGAAAAGCCCTACGAATGTGATGTATGCCTAAAGTCATTTTCTCGAAAGGACAATCTATCTGTTCACAAACGGGTCCACACTGAAGAAAAGCCCTACAAGTGTGCAGTGTGCTTTAAGTCGTTTTCTGTTAAATCGAGCCTAATAAAACATGAACCCGTGCACACTGGTGAAAAGCCCTACAATTGTGCAGTTTGCTTGAAGTCATTCGCTCAAAAATGTGATCTGACAAAACATGAACGCGTGCATACAGGTGAAAAGCCCTACAAATGTGCCATTTGTTTAAAATCATTTTCTCAAATTCAAACCTCACAATACACAAACGCGTACACACTGGTGAAAAGCCCTACAATTGTGCAGTTTGCTTGAAGTCATTCGCTCAAAAATGTGATCTGACAAAACATGAAAGCGTGCATACACGTGTAAAGCCCTATAAATGTGATGTATGCCTTAAGTCATTTTCTCAAAAATGTGATCTGACAAAACATGAACGCGTGCATACAAGTGAAAAGCCCTACGAATGTGATGTATGCCTAAAGTCATTTTCTCGAAAGGACAATCTATCTGTTCACAAACGGGTCCACACTGAAGAAAAGCCCTACAAGTGTGCAGTGTGCTTTAAGTCGTTTTCTGTTAAATCGAGCCTAATAAAACATGAACCCGTGCACACTGGTGAAAAGTCCTAAAAATGTGATATTTGCCTAAAGTCATTTACTGAAAAATCGAGTCTCACAAAACATAAACGGGTGCATACAGGTGAAAAGTCCTACAAATGTGATATTTGCCTAAAGTCATTTACTGAAAAATGGAGTCTCACAAAACATGAACGGGTGCATACAGGTGAAAAGCCCTACGAATGTGATGTATGCCTAAAGTCATTTTCTCGAAAGAACAACCTCATAGAACACAAACGCGTGCACAACGGTAAAAAGCCCTTCCATTGTGACGTATGTTTAAAATCATTTACTCGTAAATCCAGCCTCAAAAAACATGAACGCGTACACACTGGTGAAAAGCCTTACCAATGTGATGAATGCCTAATTTCATTTCATCGAAAGGACTTACTCGCACTTCATGAACGGGTTCACACTGGAGAAAAGCCCTATAAATGTGCAGTGTGCCTAACATCATTTTCTCAAAAATCGACCCTCACGTATCATGAACGCGTACATACAGGTGATAAGCCTTACAAATGTGCCATTTGCCTAACATCATTTTCTCAAAAATCGAGCCTCGCAATACACCAACGCTTACACACTGGTGAGAAGCCCTACAATTGTGCAGTTTGCTTAAAGTCATTTTCTCGAAAATGTGATCTGACAAAACATGAACGCGTGCATACTGGTGAAAAGCCCTACAAATGTGATGTATGCCTAAAGTCATTTTCTCGAATATTGAGCCTCACACAACACAAACGCGTGCATGCTGTCGAAAATAACAATATCTATGATTTAATTATATTTGTAAAAAATTATTTGTGGTATTATGTTCTGTAAACTCTTACAGAATTTTTTTTTATAAGACCTACATAAAATGTATTTTTATATGTTATTAAGTAATTAGTTAAGTAATGAATATAAGTATTTTTTAATCATTGTATTTGTATGTCGGGTGGTAATTTAAATTATTAATTATTTTTTCTTGATATATTCTATATTATAACTGAAATTCAGAATACTTGCATTTTATTTTTTGCTTTTTTTCTAAACGAACAGTAATTGAGTAAAACACATTGAGAAAGGTTACGCGCTATTTTACGTTTAGCCAACTATTTTCCATATTATTTTTTTTTCGTTTACTTATTTCCAGTACGATTTCTTAGCTGAGTGGCTATTGGTTTTATTAGGATGTGAGCTTTTTTTTGTGTCGGTTCACTGTAGCTTTTTAAATACTGGACCAAGCACAAATTTTAAGTGATACTTTGGGAGAGGAAAAGTTTATTAAATAATTAGTTAATCTGTTTTATTCATTATGTTTATATAATTTACTCAATTATTTGCCATACTTTTTTTTTCAGAAGTAAAAATTTTAAGTTATTAAATTTTTTTCTCGTCCTTTGGTATAGAACTATATTGCTAGGTTATGGTTGTCTATGTCGATATAAAAACAGATTATAAATCTGAATTTTGGATTTTTGTAAATCATTGAAATTATTAAATTCGACACATGTGTCAATGATAAAACAAAATATACTTTGAATATTATAAGATTTTTTGTATTCTATAAAACAATTTTTATGGTTTTATTATTATTTTTTTTATCGAAAACGAGCTGTTTTTCTTAACATATATTGTTTTGCAGTTGTTTTTGTATTTAAATGTTTGATCTATTTTATTTCTTGCACGGTAGCATTTTGATGTTTTAATAATTATAAATATATATATATTATTTTTAAAGATTTGAATATTAGAATAGTTGTATAATAATATACATTTCGAATTAGATTGTAATTCCTACTTTTATCGATGTAGAAGAATGTTAAGTTAGTACTTAAAAATAATTTTAATCCGATTCTACCCAGCACGGACCGATCTAGCCTAATAAATAAATGTAATTTTGTTTAACTTTTACGCCCTCAAAGTACCAACTAGATGAAATTTTTTAGATGATACAGCTCACCGTAATTTTAAGTTTAAAAATACTATTGTTCGTATGTACATTTTTTTTACTTTTGAAATGGGGAAGGGGTGAAATGTTTATATTTTTGACCTAACAAACTTACTTTTAGTTAAGATTTGATTTAAAAAATCAGATCAGAGGCGTACAACTTGTTTTCGGTAAACAACAAATCATATCGGTACCAATTAAACTGCAATATCCAAGATCCGTGTCACAATCTGAAAAAAATTGTGCATACTAACTGATTGTTTGTTATAACATTTTCATCTTCATTTGTTTATCATAACTGTGTTTGAATCTCCAGATTTTTGTAATTACAATATATTCCAAATAACACAATTTGTCACCTATCAAATATATAATATGTTCATTAAATGTACCTTTCTCCCAATAAAAGTAATATTCACAGAATAAGTAAATTTGTATTTTATTATCTCTTCTATTCAAACTATTTGCTTTTACTTCTGATTCCTTTATTTTGTTTTATTTCTTTACTATAAAATGTCTATGGAGATGCGTTAAGTCGAGTCAATTGTTTTAATTTATTTGTTATAACAAATTTACAAATGTAAACTTATCATTCATTTTGATTATTACTCCATAGAAAATATTGCTATTGCGTCATTTCATGCCTAATCACCTAAAGTGTGTGCGAGTGGACTTTCTAAATTCATACATTGCATGTGGAGTTAAAATATGATTATGTGAAGTTCGTTGTATGCTGGTTTTATTTTATACACTAATATTTTAACAGTTCTTTCTATGCACTACTCGGACTTCTACATTTTTTTTTTGTCTGTTAGTTGAAACTTTAACATCGAGTTTGTAAACATTTTGTACTATTAATTATATTATAACCCATTATAGATCACAGTAATTGGAACTATTTATTTATTTCAAAAGTCAGTTAGTGTATCCGCTAATGTCTAAACATTTTAGCCTATAATTTTCGATAGTAAAAGATATTATCTACAAAAAGTTTAGTCATGTTTTTCTTGTAACGCTATTGCGGTTTATAATAATATAAAAGTTGACAATATTTACAATAACCCACGTATGTTAATGTAATTTTTATTATATATGTTTTTTTTAAAGTATTATCATCTACTCAGTTCAAGAACAAAATACGAAACAAAAACCATGATAAAACGCATATACTACCTACAAAAGCTATGCATGGTAGTTTCGAGAAAAAACATGTTTTAAAAATGTATATTACAATTGACCAAATTTAAAAGGAAAAACATATAGTTTTGAATTTGCCTGTTAAATTCATATTTACTAACTTTACCAATAATTATATTTTGTAAATTCAACATTAAGTCCTGTCTTCATTTCATAAAATAAATTGAGGAAATGAATAAGCTTTATGAATATTGAGTAGAATAGAAAAATGTGTTTGCCAAATTTCAACCAATAACCTTTGATGCTGCAATTAATAATAGTAATTTAAAACTAATAGCTGTTGCGAGACGCGAAGCTGAATTGAAACTTCTTTCGGATTTGTTGGGATTTGATGGAATATAACGTTTTTCAGGAGGAATACAAATACACACGAATATATGTATATATATTTAAATAATACTTCCCATCTTGCATACGAATTAATTAAGTTTTATTCACCAATAACAATAAATATTGAAACATATGGGTTTTTTATCTTCCCGAAAACATTATCATAATATTACTCTACCTCAATAGATCAAGGATATAACATTGATGGTACAATAATTGTAGCAAACACCCATATAATATGTAAAACTTAACAGTGTTATCAATTATTAAATCAAAATGTTGTTTAAAAATTGTATACATCTATGATGTATTATATATACAATACATAATATAATACATCAATTATGTCAGTAAATTATATAATATGTGTTGACCCTGTTTACGAATAAACTCTATAGATGGAGTCATAACAGACGATCAACCCTAACTGAATTCCCTAATACTAAAAGTACAAGTTTAAGTTGTTTAATTACGTCATCACCTTTACAATGTGCTTTTATCGATGTTTAATATTTTTACGATCTACTAGTTGGCATTGATAGTCTATTTTGTTATAGTGTTCTTATCACTTTCAGTATACATTTGTACTCCCATTTCATTTTATATTAGATATTAATAATATATTAGCTGATAGATAGATTTTATTTGTATTCTTTGTTTATTCAAGGTGCTTAGGAATCTGTATTAGTTGGGTATAATAACTAATAAGTATTGGATAATTACATTAAATTTTTTTATCTATAATTTTTGTAAAATCAGGGTTCTACAACGCAAGAAAATAAATAGTTCTAACATTTTAAGTACACAAATAATAAACGCAATACTTTCAAAAACAACTTGTTTTCGAAAAAAACAATAGTAGTTTTTGTAATGTGGATTATTAAAACTTAAAAATGTATGATATCTTCATTTCTTGATCATTGATTTACATGGCAACAGATGTTGTGAAAAACAACTTGTTTTTGATAAGACAAATATGAAACTATTCAAATAGTTGTAAAATACTGTATATTATAATGTAAGAAAATTAAATCTATAGCTTTTGTGTAAACATAAGATAGAAATCAAATTTAAAATGTAAGATGAATGCATAAAATATTAATGATTAAATAGATAAAGGCACTATAGTTATATAACTAAATTTGTTATGTAGCATAAGTTTTATTAATATGTTATGTGATTATATTATAGCTATATAAAAATAATTTTATTGAAAACTTGTTTTCGACCAAAAACCAAACTACTTTTTTTTGTGAAATATGGCATTGTTCAATGTGGTAAATTTTAACGATTTTTCATTTTTTTACATTGTTACAGTGATTTTAGAAAAATAAACACCTAAGTACACAAACGACGAAACAAAATATGAAATCAACTTGTTTTTTTCAAAGAGCAATAATAAAGTTGAATCTTTATGATACCAACAGACATTCGTCATTTGTTTACATTACAACAAACGTTGTGAAATATTCGGATACATACAGTTTTGTTTCACTCTAAGAAGCTCTTTATGTAGCAAAATCTATTCAGGGGGGAAACAAATTACATTGTAATAATATTATAAAAATTTAGAAATAATTGTAAAAATATAAACTAAGTTCGATGTTAATTGGTAGTAATAGTTTTAGAATTTTTCTTTTAACGTATTAAACTTGTGCTATAATATAATTTACAAAATAATGTTTGAATTTGCACTATATTTTTCTAAAAATATAGCGAATATAAATTTTATGTAAAAACCAATAACAATACTTACAAAAATATTTTGTTACCTACGTACAACTTGTTTTCTAGGAAACACATTTTTTTTTTGTGTTCAAATTGTAATAGTAAATTTGTCGTTAGCTTTTGTGTAAACAAAAGATTTACCTGCCTATCTTTTAGAAGGATTTCTATGGCTATATACTGAATCTGGGGTGCACAAATTTCTGGCTACGTTACTTGATACGACTTACGTGTTATGGATAGTGACAATTGTTTATATTTTCCTATAAATCCTAAAATACATAATATGTATCGTCTGTACCATTTATCGTAATCAACTAGTGAATGAAAAAAAATATTTTTCAAATTATATGCGTTATATAGCTACAGTAAACCTTATCTCTAGAGATCCTACATCATCATGCCACGAATTCACAACAGTAGCCCTAAATTTTAATTACATTTATACCTCACCCTCATCCCACCATCCCGGGTGATGATATTATTTTTTTTATATAGATGTAATTTTAAGACCTTATAGTTGAAAATATCGTGCACGTGTATTGTTCAAATAATAACACGTTTTCATATTAAACAACAAAGACAAACATTTTCAAATCTTGTGCAGCACATATCTCTCTATATAACATAAGCAGCAAACGTACTGTTGTTCTAGTATAGTCTTCTACAATCTTTGTGTTTTACTTAAACTGTAAATCCAAAAATCAATATTTTATTTGGCGTTTTAAATTTTCTATCTTTAATATACCATTGGATTATATCTAATTGAAAAATGAAATTTAATAGCATATATTTGTTTTTAACAACATTGTTTTGCGTTATCATTTTAGCGTATGCAGGTATTTCAGGTCGTCCTGAACATACGCAATCTAATACCCGTAAGTTTTTGAGACTGCTGTAACTTAAAAAAATTTCAAAAGTAAAATTAAATATACTTTTTTATTATTCGTTTTTAAAATGTCCGTAAGTTGGATGATAATATCAGTTTTTGTGCTTTGCAAAGATACCACGAGTTTTAATATTAATTTCAATAAATCTGAAAATGTGTATAAAATGTTACTAATGTATTACATTGTTGATAATAAAAATAAGTTTATCATGTTCATAAGCATATTATTATATAGAATTGTACTTCTAGTTGAAAAATTGTTTAAAAAATATAATTTGTGGCTAACAAATTTAAACGCTTTAGATAAACAACTAAAAATGGAAAAACAAGTATTTAAGTTATTTTGTCTGTGTTTCAGCTCTAGCTCCACCATTACGAATGGGACACCCACCACTTCCGGGTGGTAAGTTTTTGAGACTTTAATAAAACCTTTTAGCTGTATTCAACTAAAATAAATACAATAACGGGCTTAAAATTTTTTAAAAATATATATGAAACCCTAGGAGCATAATGATAAAAAAGGCTTGCATTGTTATTAAACAAAAAATAACACTGCAATATCAGTAAATTAAATATTATTACGGACACTGTAGTCATTGTTAATAACTACTAGTGCTTTATAATACTAAATTAACTGTAGGTTTTGAATTTAACTTAGTCAGTGTAGCCTATACATTTAACAACACTAGTGTGAAAAGTACTACTCGTATGTTATTCACTTTGATGCAAAACTTAAATAAATAAGTTGCTTAAAAAATTAAAAAATTTTGTTTAAAAAATATTATTTTTTAGCTAACAAATTTAAACACTTTAGACCAACAACTAAAAATTATTATACCAATATAGATACTTGAAAATTAAAAAATAAATTCAAAAAACAAGTATTTGAGTTATTTACTTGGTGTTTCAGTAATAGCACATATAAATCCACCACCACCACCACCACCACCACCAGCAGCACCAGCAGCACCAGCAGCAGCACCACCAGCACCACCACAACCACCTGGTAAGTTTTTGAGACTTTAAAAAAAACTTATAAAGGGTATAAAAGTGTAATTTAATATACAATTTTATCATTGGTTTTTCAAATGACTGCAAGTTGGATGGTATTATATTTTTTTTGTGATTTGCATAGATACTAGCAACTTTTATATTATTTTCAATAAAAGTTTAATAATTTACTTTTATTATTATTTTTTTTTTAGCTGGAAATCGACGATAGTTAAATTTACCAACAAAGCTGCAGTATCCAAGATCTGTGCCACATTTTGAAAATACATATGCTAACTAATATGTGTATATTGTAAAATGTTCATCTTAGTTTATCATTTTTATGTTTCAACCTTAAATTTTTTTAATAACATTCCAAATAACATTTTTTGTTCCCTATCATATAAATTACATTATGTCTATTACATACACCTGTCTACCAATAAAAATAATATTCTCCGAATAAGAAAATTTGTTATTTATAATATAATCTATTCCGAATTCTGCTTCCTCCTCTTATTTTAATTAATTTTAACTATTTACTGTTTATACTCTTGATTTGACCTCGATGCTTTGCCTGGTGGCAACCCGTAATGGACAAATTGTTTGTTATATAAATACATTTTCAGAAAAACAAAGTTTTATGTTGGATAGGGGTAGGAGATAAGAGATATTTTGTACGTTCAACATTTAAATTAAAACTAAATGACAAATTCAAAATAGTTTAAGGGCCCGAGTTCTCTATGAATTGTTTTAAGCCAGATATTAAACACTACGATATTAGCCAGAAACTTGATGTTTTAGGTAGGTTTTTAAACTTAACTGTTTCAGAGTTACCTATACATTTTACACCACTAGTGTGAAAAATATTACTGATATGTCATAAGTCACTTTGCCGCAAAACTAAATAAATAAGTTGCTAAAACAATCAAAAATGTTTGGCTGTATTTTAAAGTAGGTTCTAGAACCATAAACCATACATTTTGTGTGTTGTTTACATGTTTTATTCGAAACAATAGTACTGAAAATGTACTTTATTCGGCCAAACATATTTAACAAACAATGAACACATACACAATCACAATACATAAACCATTTGAATATGTACAAAAAAAATCACTTCAAATATACATGATAAGCAATAGCCACATAGTTAAAGTTTACATTGTAAAAACAATACATACCCAAATATATTATATTAAAAAATATGTATTCATAAAAATATACTTTTATTTTACACAATTTAAGTACGTAAGAGATGTGCTTTAGATCCCATAACCTCCCCCCCCCGACTTTTATGATTTACATAAAATTAAAATTGAATTTTAAATTTTTGGTTAATATTTGTGTTGTTAAAACTATACGTTATTCGTATATAAAATACCATAATTTTCGCAATGACTGTTGCAATATAAACAAATGACAAATACATGTTGTTATTATATAGCTTAAGTTTTAACATAATATGAGCAGCCATATTTTACTTTAACATCTTTGATACATTTATTATAGCTTTTTGAGAAAGCAAGTGCTTTTGAACGTACATTATGTTGTATAAGATAATAAGGGAATCTGAACGTATAAACACAATGACGCTAAATGTATTAACTAGATTATAATAATATAAGATGTCTAGTAACATACAAAATGTGAATCATAATTATTTTTATAATATAACTAGAGGGCATGATATTTTAGCTTTGTATTTCGAGTTATTTTGAGTATTGTACTGTGGTCAGTGGCTACAACACAGAATACAATATTTAATTTATCCAATAAAAAATCGGCACGTTAGACTAAATCCTTTTCAAACAGGGTTGTGTAAATTAATTGTTGAAAAATACTGTATATTATAACTTAAGAAAATAGTATTTGAAATACAATTTTAGATTAGATTTTATTTGTATTTTTTGTTTATTCGTGATTTGATATTACTATTTAAAAATTCATCTATAATTATTGTAAAATCAGAGTTCTACAAAGAAAGGAAATAATTAGTTCTAACATCAAAGTACACAAACAATAAAACGTAATGCTTCTAAAAACAACTTGTTTTATTAGCAGTTTTTGTAATGTAATGTTAAAACTTAAAACTGTAGGATACCTACAGTTCTTTGACATTAATTTAGATGGCAACAGATGTTATAAAAATCAACATGTTTTTGATAAGAAAAAATAAAACTATACAAATACCTAGTTGTAAAATACTGTAGGTATATTATAATGTAAGAAAATAAATCGATGGCTTTTGTGTAAACATAAGATAGAAATCAAATTTATAACGTAAGTTAAATGCATAAACTATTAATGGTAAAATATATGAAGGCACTATAGTTATATGACTAAAGGTGTAAAGTAGCATCCATTGTATTAGTATGTTATGTGATAATATTATATCTGTATAAAATTAATTTTAATGAAAACTGGGATTCGACCAAAAAAAAAAATATACATTTTTCATAAAGAAATACTTTTCTGGGAGAAATAGTGGCATAGAACAGTTTAGAAATGTATTAACATTATTAATGTGATCTGGATTAGCTATATCAGAGTGAGGTTTGAATATTTCAGACAGATGTTGTCTGAACACTTCAGCTTTAATTGTATCTTGTCGTATACGCACTTTGATACGCGAACCGTTAAACACACACACACACTTAAAATCGACGGCAGAAAAGGTAACACTTTTAAATTAAGTAAAAGAAAAGTTACTCAAAAGTTAATAAACACACACACACAATTATAATATTCGTAAAAACAATGTAAAAAACAATAAGTACAAATTTACCTTCAGGAATGAACCACATATCTTGCCAATGATCCATTTTTTTAACATTTTTGAGCATGTTTATTTGTTCCAATGTCGCTCTTGCAGACACTTCCATCGTGTAAATATGCTAAAACTAACGGAATTAAAAACTTTACGAATGCCTTATTTTCCATCTTTAATCTTGTAGATTTGAACAAAATTTGTAGACAATAGATATGTTCCTCTTCCTACTAGAACGCTTCTAAGAGCCCACTAATTTAAAACTTGATAACAAAATTTACATTACAAGGCACGAAAGTGGCACAATTTAAAAAACAATTTTTAGTTATTTTATTTATTTCCATTTGAAAAAAATGGCTGTATTTTGAAATATTTATATCAACAACATCAAAAATGAATTTTAAATGATGCATTGAATAAGTATTAAAAAATATATATACCATATTAATATACCCAGAGTATATATACAATGATTCGACAAAAGAAAATAACTTTTGTTCTAGTGAATATATTTAATTCTTACAACCTTATATTTGTGAGATCAATTTGACATTTAAAAATTTAGCCTCGAGCCCGCGCGCTAAAATATTTATCTTCACTGATTTATACATACAGCCTGCCATCGCGGCCACTGCAGTTATCACTTACTGTACAAGCAAACACATTCTTATCAAGTAGGTTGTATACAGAGTAGACTGTCAACATCATGGTGGATATATCATCTTTTTTTTAAAACTCTTAATATTATGTCGTGTGTTTACATATAAATAAAGTTTAAATTGCATAAAGTGTGTGATTAAAGATTTTATACCTGACGTTTTAGGTTTAAGGCTAGGAGCTCCGACCAAGGGTGCCGTAGCCGTATATCAGTAAGTCGTGAGTAACATTTTGGTTAATTATTATCATTTTATTTGTTCTAATGAATGGATTAGTTTTCTACATAGTATACAAGTTCGATAGTGATTTTTATTACGGTCTAAACGATTCATGCGTACAACAATTATAGACTCGTAGAGTGAGATTCGCTATCAACGGCTGTAGTTACGATAACTCTAGTCACTACAGCCATTCGCCACAGTAGATGCCACTTTTTTCTTATATAAATTGGTCTCATTATTAAAAAACACTTTTTCTTATGTTTGGTAAATTTGCACCCTAACTACTGAACTAATTAAGAAAAGTTTTGTGTGTTATTCAATTACTTGCATTTGATAACATGTACGACCAGAGTGAGCCATTCCAAATGGAGATATTTATTAAAATATGAGAATAAGTAATTCCAGAACCGCACAAAGAAAATGTAATGCCTTGTTTATGTATGCCAGACAATTTACAAAAAAATTAGTAGTTGGATAATGGCATTAGCTGCGCAATTTTGTTTCTTTTATTTTATAAACCATTGATAATACATTGTTAGCTATTTTATTGTTAACCATGAGTTCTATTTAAAATTAGTATTAATACTATTTGAATAATACACTTTTTATATTAATATATATCATCTGTAAGCAACCTATATTGAGATATCTTTTTTCTAAATTAGTCAACTTCCCAGGTTATTATATCGTAGTTTGCGCCAATAATAACAGTCGTATATCTCGTCATCTAAACAAACTAGAAATAAATTACTTTTAAAATGTCATGAAACATAAATTTGAATAAAATTTAAATGTTCATTTTGCTCTCCCTGAGAAAATTTGGAAAAAGACATTGTTTAATAGGGCAGTCGATATTATGACGAGAAATATAACATCAATTAATGCAATGGCAAAAGCCATTTACCGTTAATCAACGATGGTTTGATTAAAGTTATTATTAATGTTTGTATGTTAACAAGTATATTTTTTTCTTAACAAATATAATCTACGTTTGCCAGAAAAAAATAAAGACTTTTATACATATTTATTATTTAAGAGTAGATGTAAATGGAATTTGAAATTAAATTTTTGAATGAAAATAGTTACGGTTTTGTTTGTTTTATTTATTTGTGTTAGTCCTTGTATTTTAATTTTTTAATGAGTTTAAAGTCGGCCTATAGTTTATTTTTGAGAGATAAATCATGTTTTTTTGTTCAAATTTTATTAAATCTAATTTATTTTTTATAGTTTTTTTTAGTGAGGAACCACCCAGAATTGAAACTAAAATGGACAATTATATCCAGACAACCAAGATAAAAATAGAGGACGAAAATAAACAGTCTATAGAGCAGTTTACCAAAGACTCTGAGAAAACAACCGATGTAGATGCGTCTAAGTAATATTAGTTTTAAATTAAATATTTTAAATACATTTAAAAAATAATGTAATAAATGTTTGGATATGATTTGAGTTCTATCGAAAATGTTTCAGATCAATAATAAATATATAATAATTTTAATGACATTTCAAAAATAATATGTAGTATTTTAAATATTATCTGTATATATCTGTTTACAAAACGGCAACGTTTAATCTGACTTTGTAATACCGAATGTGTTATTATCCATAAAGTTAAAAAAATAAGTAGTTATATCTTTAAAATAGGTTTGCTTACAATAAAATATTTTTAAATACATCACAGTAATTGTAATATTTGTTTAAAAAAAAACCCCACTAACTTTTTAGCACCCGGCTGAAACTAAAAGTCTTACGTTTCAAATTTAGATTGACTTTTAATTGAATAACAGATATGTATATTGTATGTTCGAGACACATAGAGCATTTTAATTAAATCTAATTTGTACAAAAGCTTTTAACAAATATTTTTTAATTATTTTTTTGTTTTTTGTTTTTAGTGACATAAGTACGTGCAACAAAACCACAGTTAAGGTCGAAGTGGATATTTTGGGTGGTAATCGTTTTGAGTCTGTATTTGAATATGAAGAAAATGATCTTTCTGGTAAGCCAACGACAAATGACGATTTGGACGAAATATGTACATTTGTCTGTGACATATGTAAAATGTCATTCGCGAGCAAAAAGAAAGTGACACGACACATTACTCAGACCCATGATGATCACTTGACAACCTGGAACAGCATTAGAAAACAAGATGTCAATAATAAACTCAGGTAAAGCAAATTATTATTTAATGTTTATAGTTGTCAATCTTATTGTTGTTTAGATAAAAGCGCAATATCGTTCTTATTATTAATTCAGTCACATATTGTTCAAAAAGATACTGTCTAATTCGAATCATAACTCTTGTATAATTTTGAACTAGTAGTTATAACTTTAAGGATTACATTATATTCGAAATAAGGGCAAATAATGAAAATATTGTATTTTATAAAATAGAGGGGTAATTTTTTTGAAAAAAATAGGTTTGCTTACAATAAAATATTTTTAAATACATCACAGTAATAGTTATATTTGATTTAAAAAAAACCCCACTAACTTTTTAGCACCCGGCTGAAACTAAAAGTCTTACGTTTCAAATTTAGGTTGACTTTTAATTAAATAACAGATATGCATATTGTATGTACGAGACACATAAAACATTTTAGATTAATTTAATTATTTACAAAAGCTGCATGATTCTTAACAGATATTTTTAAATACTTTTTTTCAGCTTTAAAATTAATTTTGTTTTTAGTGACATAAGTACGTGCAACAAAACCATATTTAAGGTCGAAGTGGACATTTTGGGTGGTAATCGTTTTGAGTCTGTATTTGAATATGAAGAAAATGATCTTTCTGGTACGCCAACGATAAATGACGATTTGGACGAAATATGTACATTTGTCTGTGACATATGTAAAATGTCATTCGCTAGCAAAAAGAAAGTGACACGACACATTACTCTGGCGCATAGTGATCACTCGACATCCCGGAATAGCATTAGAAAACAAGTTATCAAAAACAAATCCAGGTAAAGGCAATCATTATTTTTTGTATACAGTTGTCAATCTTATTGTTTGATGAAAGCGCGATACCGTTCTTATTATTAAATTAGTCACAATTCGATTAAGAACATACTGTCTAATTTGCATCTAAACACTTGTATAACTTTAAACTAGTAGTTATAACTTTAAGGTGTGCATTATTTTCGAAATTAACGGTAAATAATGAACAAATTGTAATTTGTAAAATAGAGGGGTAATAATCAAATAAGTTATTTTTTTTTAATAAATATGTCGCTTTATGCGTTTAAACCCTAAAGTTTAAAATTTAAGACGACAGTTTCAGTTCAGTGGGTAACGCAAGTTTGTGAACGCATAGGCGCATATATCAACCCTCAGACTCAAAATTAGCACTCCTAAAAATTCAAGCCCCAATCCTTGATTTGTACGCATAAAATTGTAATAATGTTCATACTCTGTTGAAATTTGTTATTTAAGATTTTTTTTTTAAATGTTTTATATTTTATCAAATAGTATGAAAATTGAAGGTAAGAACTTTTTATTCATTAGTCAGGTATACATAGTTATAACATCCCCTTAAATGTAGGTCTAGTTGCGCCTATGTGTGAATGTAAGTTCGCAAGTCTTTAACACATAAAGGATGGGGTGATATCACCTTGTAGATTTTTAAACTGTATGGATTATTAGTCAAATTTACTAGGTGATCGTTTTGCACAATCAGTACGTTTACTTAGTTAAAATAGAATGTATAATAATAATAATTTATAAATTGTGATATGAATAATTTGTTTTTGAACTTTATACTTATTGCTTGACAATGCTTTGTTCTAGTGTTAATGGTACAAGTAATGAAGCGAATAAAAAAATAGAAGGTTCTTCTACAAAATCCAGCCTCAGAAAACATCAACGAGCACACAATGGTGAAAAGTCCTACAATTGTGTAGTTTGCTTAAAGTCATTTTCTAATAAATCGAGTTTCGCAACACATGAACGGGTACACACTGGTGAAAAGCCCTACAATTGTGCAGTGTGCTTAAAGTCATTTACTCAAAAAGAGCACCTCACAACACATCAACGCATACACACTGGTGAGAAGCCCTACAATTGTGCAGTGTGCTTAAAGTCATTTACTCAAAAAGAGCACCTCACAACACATCAACGCATACACACTGGTGAGAAGCCCTACAATTGTGCAGTGTGCTTAAAGTCATTTATTCGAAAAGAGCACCTCACAACACATCAACGCATACACACTGGTGAGAAGCCCTACAATTGTGCAGTGTGCTTAAAGTCATTTATTCGAAAAGAGCACCTCACAACACATCAACGCATACACACTGGTGAGAAGCCCTACAATTGTGCAGTGTGCTTAAAGTCATTTACTCGAAAATGTGATCTGACAATACATGAACGCGTGCATACAGGTGAAAAGCCCTACAATTGTGCAGTGTGCTTAAAGTCATTTATTCGAAAAGAGCACCTCACAACACATCAACGTATACACACTGGTGAAAAGCCCTACAATTGTGATGTATGCCTAAAGTCATTTTCTGATAAATCGAGCCTCACAAAACATGAACGCGTGCACACTGGTGAAAAGCCCTACAATTGTGATGTATGCCTAAAGTCATTTTCTGATAAATCGAGCCTCACAAAACATGAACGCGTGCACACTGGTGAAAAGCCCTACAATTGTGCAGTTTGCTTAAAGTCATTTTCTAATAGATCGAGCCTAATAAAACATGAACGCGTGCACACTGGTGAAAAGCCGTACAAATGTGCCATTTGTTTAAAATCATTTTCTCAAAATGCACACCTCACAATACACAAACGCTTGCACACTGGTGAGAAGCCCTACAAATGTGATGTATGCCTAAAGTTATTTTCTGCTAAATCGACCCTCACAATACATGAACGCGTTCACTCTGGGGAAAAGCCTTACAAATGAGATGTTCTGCTCAAGATCTTTTTCTCAACACTTGAACTTCACAACACACAAACGCGTGCATGCTGGCGAAAATCACTACAAGTGACAATATCTAAGACTCAATTATATTCGTAAAATTCAATTGGGTTATTATATTCTATAAACAATTACAATTTTTTTTATAAGGCCTATATAAAATGTATTTTTATATGTTATAAATTAACTAAATAAGTAATGCGTATTATTATTTGTAATAATTTTATTTGTATGTCAGGTGGTGACTTAAATATTTAATTATGTTTGCTTGACATATTCTATATTGTAATTAAAATTTAGAATACTTGCATTTTATTACGTTGTTACATGTTTTTTAAAAGAACAGTATTTGTATAAAATACCAAAAGGTGTCCCGCTAATACACGTTATCCAACTATTTTCCATCTCATTATTTTTTGTTCACTTATTTCCAGTTAGGTATTTAGCTGAAAGGCTATTGGTTTTATAAAGTTGTGAGCATTTTTTTTTTTGTGTACACTAGCTTTTATAATACTGGACTAATTCCTTTAATTAGTAACTTTACAAAGCATACATTTTATCTAATTTTTAATTTGGGTGAATTAAAGTTAGAAAAATCTACTTCTTCACCCTAAAAATTTGTAAAAAAAAAAAAACAAATATAAAAACACGGCTATTAAGTTATTAATTTGTTGTAATTAAAAATCCTTCACAGATCTGCATCTAAGTTTAAACAAATTGACTAGGTACCTATTGTTAAATCTGTACCTTTTTTGTTTCTTTTTCATATTAGGTAGTTGTACCTAATATGTACTAAATATAAAAAAAAAATCACTAAGTTTAATAATAATACAAATAAGAATAATAATTAATAATAGGTAATTATAATAATAAAATATAATTATAGGTAATAATAAATTATATTGATTTTTAAAATGGATTGTTTTTGTTAAATGGGATCTTATTCGATTTCTAGGCTGACCTAATATGTAATAATGGACCCAGATTCTAAAATAGCTTTGAAATACTAAATGAGTTAGTTGCAGTAAATGGTGATTAATTGGGTCTAGTGATAGGAAAATATTGTTTAAATTAATCTGGGAGGGGGCTTTTATAATTAAAAAAATGTAATAAATTATTGGGTATTGTTGAAAGTTAATTTTTATAAATTTTAAAAGCACTCACCAACTTTACATAATTATATGATATTATCTACTGATGGATTGATTAAACCACCGCGGGTTTTTATACTTATGAGCGACCTTGGTTCACTATGACTTCAAACTAAAGCTGCTGTGCATTTATTACAAATAATATTTTTTCTTAGCTTTGAGCAATATATATATATATTACAGCTTTATTATACTCAAAAATATCGTCAATTGCTTGCTGTGAAACATTAAACTGGATATCGCCGCATATATTTCGGTCGTCGTTTTGCAGGATCGAATCATGCATTGATAAACCACGACGAGAACAATAATTAAAATTCAATATTTATATTAAATCAAATTATTTAACATTATGAAAAATGTCCTTATCCGGTATTATCATATTACTATTTGCCGTGATATTATTTCTTCCATGCCATACCTAACAACTCTCTCTGTCTCTTTTTAACGATATTGATACGCAGACCTCTCGCTCTACTATCAGTTTATTGTCAATGATGCAATTTAATGCAAACATCTTTATCAATTTATACACAGAGTACTGTCAGTTTGATTGTATACTGTCAACATCAAGGTGGATTTATTATTTATTTTTTTAAATAAGAATCATTATATAATCTTGTGTTTTTATATAAAAAAGAAGTTTAAATTGTATGTATTAGGTGTGTGATTTAAGATTTCACACCTGTCGTTTTGAGTTCAGGGCCTTGGAGCTCCGACTAACGTTTTTGTAGCCGTGTACCAGTAAGTATTGAGTAACGTTTTGGTTGATTTTTATCGTTTCATTTGTTCTAATGAATTAATTAATAATCTACATAGTTTACAAGTCTGATAGTGATTTTAAAAACAGTCTAAACGATTCTTGCATACATAAATTTTAGACTCGTAGAGTGAGAATCACTATCAACGGCTGTAGATTTGATACTTGATAAGTAGTTTAACACCCTATATTATGTCCATCAATCACCTTATTTATTTGTTAACAATCTATACTGTGATATCTTTTTGCCAATTTCTCTGTTTTGCGTATAAAACCAAGAAGATTATAATCAATCAGAGGGATGGCAAAAGTCAAGTGGCGTTTGTCATCGTAGCAACGGTTTAATTAATGTTAATATTTGTATTTATATGTTTACAATTCTATTATCTTTTTTTATTAAATTCTGTTTGGAAGGAAATAAAGAAAATTATAATTGCGAAAATGCGAAGTGAAAATAATAGTACTTCATATTGTGAACAAAAACAGTTACGACTATGTTTATTTGTATTTTTTGTCTTAGTTAGACTAGTATTTTATTTAAAAATTATTAGACTCAGGCTATAGTAATTTAAAGATAAATCATAAGTTTTGTTGCAATTTTTTAAAGTGTTTTGTTTTTATAAAATTCTTTTAGCGCGAAACTAACCAAGATTACAAATTAAAATGAAAGATGAATGTTACAAGGCAGAATATTATTTCCTACAGAAAACAATATCTTGTATGTATACATTTTTTTAAGCGTGTTAAATCTTAGCCTATAATAATTTTTTTTAAATAGATAATAAGTTTTTGTCTCAAATATTTTAAATATGCTTTGTTTTTTAGAGTTATTGTAGCGAGCGAGAAACACACCAATAAAAGTAAAATGGACAATGATAACGACACGACCACAATCAAATTAGAAGAAGATAGTCAGTCGATAGAGCAGCTTACCAATGTTTCTGATGAAAGAACCAATTTAAATAATACTGAAAAATCATACAAGTGTAGTCCGATGACAAACATAGAACCTCAAAAAACAATCGGTGGAGATGCGTGCAAGTAATTTCAATTTTAATATACATTTTATTAAAAAGAAATTATAATGTGATTAAGATTTGAATTAGCAGTCCTTGGCAAATAATAAGGGGTTTTTAAATAGATAAATTATTAAACAAATATTTTTGAATACAAAACAGTAATGTTTGACTTGACTTTGTTACATAATATAGTAACTATGAAATTCCCATAAGTAGGTGAGTATACTTTTAAAATCAGTTTTCTCATAATAAAATATTTACAATTTCAGTAGATTAAAATGTTATTGTACAACAGCTGTTGCACGATTTCTTTTAAACCAATTTAAAGTAATACCTACAACCTAATGTTTAGCGAGTATTTGTTAATCTTTTTATCAGCTATAAAATATTTAAAAATGTTTGTTTTTAGCGTCGGAGAAACGTGCAATGGTTCAATTGTTAAAATTGAAGTAGACTTTGAGTTTGGACATTGTTTTGAATCCTTTATAGAATTTGAAAAATATAATGTTTTTGATGTTCAAACGACGAGCAATGATTTAGAAGAAATACGTACATTTGTCTGTGATGTTTGTAATATGTCATTTTTTACTAAAAGAAGAGTGGCCCGACACATAAGTCAATCGCATAGTGTACACTCAATGGCACAATATGTCAATGGAAAACCAATTGTCCAAAATAAATTCAGGTACAGAAAGTTATTCTTTTAGGATACAAATATATTTTTTTTAATTTGGTAAAAGAATGCTTTAAGGGTGCATATAGGTGCATAAATAAAATAAATTTACTAAGTAGTTATTTGTACTTCGCATCTTACTTACCACCTTTTTAACTCTGTTCTCCAAGTATATGTATGAATTTTATATATATATATATATATATATATATATATATTGTATGTTTCTGTAGAATATATATGAGTACATATATTTATTTATATACATATTTTTTTTAATGTGTTTAATTTCGGCTTATAGTTATTTTTTAAAAATCAATTATGAGTTCTTGTCTCAAATATTTAAAATATACTTTGTTTTTTAGAGTCCCTGTAGCGAGAAACAAATCAAAAATCCAAAATAAAATGGATGATGATTACTATACGACCACAATTAAATTAGAAGAAAATAGTCAGTCGATAGAGCAGCTTACCATTGCTTCTGATAAAAGAACAAATCTTAATTACACTGGAAAATCATACAAGGATAGTCCCACGACTTATAAAGAATCTCAAAAAACAGTTGGTGGAAATGTGTATAAGTAATGTGAATTTTAATATAAATTTTGTTAATAAGAAATAATAACGTGATTAAGGTTTGAGATTGACATTCTATGTCGAATAACTAGGCGTTTGTGACTTTTAGATAAAGAAATATTTTCTGATACGAAACAGTAATGTTTCACCTGTCTTTGTTGCACTGTGTATCCTTGAAGTTCCCTTAAGTAGATGGTTATATTTTTTAAATTAGTTTTGCCACAATTAATTATTTTCAGATACACTAGGCTTAAATTGTATTGTACAGTAAGTTAGTTTGGTATTTTTATATGTACTTTAAACATTTTATTAATATGATGTGTGGGATTTAAAACAACTTGGCTTAAATGTACAAAAAGGTATATTGTTGTTAGCATCTATTTTTATTTTACCAGTTATAAAATATTCTTTTTTTTGTTTTGTTTTTAGTATCGGAGAAACGTGCAATGAAACGGAAGTCGAAGTAGATTTGGTGAATGGATGTCGTTTTGAGACTGTAATAGAAGTTTATAAACATAATCTTTATAACATGCAAACGATGAACCACGATTTGGACAAAGTACATAAATTTGTCTGCGATATATGTAAAATGTTGTTTGCTACCAAAAGAAAAGTGGCCCAACACATTACTCAATCACATAGGTCATACTCAATAATACAAAATGTCACTAGAAAACATGTTTCCAAAAATAAATTTGGGTACGGCAAACTATTATTTTATTATTATACAATTGTAATTTTATTGTCGTTAAGATAAAAATTAATTATTATTCTTATTATTATTTTGTCACATATTATTTAAATAGTTACTGTCTAAATGACAGATAACAATTTATAAAAATGTAAATAAACATTTTTAACGTTTATGATTCCAATAGATTTAAAATAAAATAAAATAAAAAACAAAGAGTTATTTACCTATAAATTTAAACTAATTAGTTTTATTAACAATAAAATGTATAATAGTAATAATTAATTTTTGATGTAGTGTCAATGGAACGAGTACTGAAGCGAAGAAAATAATCGAAGGGTCTTCTACAAAATCCATCCTGCCAAAAGTCCAACACGTACACACTGGAAAAAGGCCGTACAAATGTGCAGTGTGCCTAACATCATTTTCTCATAAATCGAGCCTCACAATACACCAACGCTTACACACTGGTGAGAAGCCCTACAATTGTGCAGTGTGCTTAAAGTCATTTACTCGAAAATGTGATCTGACAAAACATGAACGCGTGCACACTGGTGAAAAGCCCTACAATTGTGCAGTTTGCTTGAAGTCATTCGCTCAAAAATGTGATCTGACAAAACATGAACGCGTGCATACAGGTGAAAAGCCCTACAAATGTGCCATTTGTTTAAAATCATTTTCTCAAAATTCAAACCTCACAATACACAAACGCGTACACACTGGTGAAAAGCCCTACAATTGTGCAGTTTGCTTGAAGTCATTCGCTCAAAAATGTGATCTGACAAAACATGAAAGCGTGCATACACGTGTAAAGCCCTATAAATGTGATGTATGCCTTAAGTCATTCGCTCATAAATGTGATCTGACAAAACATGAAAGCGTGCATACACGTGTAAAGCCCTACGAATGTGATGTATGCCTAAAGTCATTTTCTCGAAAGGACAATCTATCTGTTCACAAACGGGTCCACACTGAAGAAAAGCCCTACAAGTGTGCAGTGTGCTTTAAGTCGTTTTCTGTTAAATCGAGCCTAATAAAACATGAACCCGTGCACACTGGTGAAAAGCCCTACAAATGTGCCAGTGTGCTTAACGTCATTTACTCGAAAATCGTACCTCACAATACATCAACGCGTGCACACTGGTGAAAAGTCCTACAAATGTGATATATGCCTAAAGTCATTTTCTGATAAATCGAACCTCACAAGTCATGAACGGGTGCATACAGGTGAAAAGCCCTACGAATGTGATGTATGCCTAAAGTCATTTTCTCGAAAGAACAACCTCATAGAACACAAACGCGTGCACAACGGTAGAAAAGCCCTTCCAGTGTGCACGTTTGTTTAAAATCATTTACTCGTAGATCCAGCCTCAAAAAACATGAACGCGTACACACTGGTGAAAAGCTTACCAATGTGATGAATGCCTAATTTCATTTCATCGAAAGGACTTTATGAACGGGTTCACACTGGAGAAAAGCCCTATAAATGTGCAGTGTGCCTAACATCATTTTCTCAAAAATCGACCCTCACGTATCATGAACGCGTACATACAGGTGATAAGCCTTACAAATGTGCCATTTGCCTAACATCATTTTCTCAAAAATCGAGCCTCGCAATACACCAACGCTTACACACTGGTGAGAAGCCCTACAATTGTGCAGTTTGCTTAAAGTCATTTCCTCGAAAATGTGATCTGACAAAACATGAACGCGTGCATACTGGTGAAAAGCCCTACAAATGTGATGTATGCCTAAAGTCATTTTCTCGAAAGGACAAACTCACAGTTCACAAACTTGTTCACACTGGTAAAAAGCCCAAAAATGAGATGTATGCCTAATGTCATTTTCTCGAATATTGAGCCTCACACAACACAAACGCGTGCATGCTGTCGAAAATAACAATATCTATGATTTAATCATATTTGTAAAACATTATTTGTGGTATTATATTCTGTAAACTCTTACAGAATTTTTTTTTATAAGACCTACATAAAATGTATTTTTATATGTTATTAAGTAATTAGTTAAGTAATGAATATAAGTATTTTTTAATCATTGTATTTGTATGTCGGGTGGTAATTTAAATTATTAATTAATTTTTCTTGATATATTCTATATTATAACTGAAATTCAGAATACTTGCATTTTGTTTTTTGCTTTTTTTCTAAACGAACAGTAATTGAGTAAAACACATTGAGAAAGGTTACGCGCTATTTTACGTTTAGCCAACTATTTTCCATATTATTTTTTTTTCGTTTACTTATTTCCAGTACGATTTCTTAGCTGAGTGGCTATTGGTTTTATTAGGATGTGAGCTTTTTTTGTGTCGGTTCACTGTAGCTTTTTAAATACTGGACCAAGCACAAATTTTAAGTGATACTTTGGGAGAGGAAAAGTTTATTAAATAATTAGTTAATCTGTTTTATTCATTATGTTTATATAATTTACTCAATTATTTGCCATACTTTTTTTTTCAGAAGTAAAAATTTTAAGTTATTAAATTTTTTCTCGTCCTTTGGTATAGAACTATATTGCTAGGTTATGGTTGTCTATGTCGATATAAAAACAGATTATAAATCTCAATTTTGGATTTTTGTAAATCATTGAAATTATTAAATTCGACACATGTGTCAATGATAAAACAAAATATACTTTGAATATTATAAGATTTTTTGTATTCTATAAAAACAATTTTTATGGTTTTATTATTATTTTTTTTATCGAAAACTAGCTGTTTTTCTTAACATATTTTGTTTTGCAGTTGTTTTTGTATTTAAATGTTTGATCTATTTTATTTCTTGCACGGTAGCATTTTGATGTTTTAATAATTATAAATATATATATATTATTTTTAAAGATTTGAATATTAGAATAGTTGTATAATACTCACAGAATAAGTAAAGTTATATTTTATTATCTCATCTACTCAAACTATTTGCTTTTATTCCTTTATTTTGTTTTATTTCTTTATTATAAAATATCTATGGAGATGCGTTAAGTCGAATCAATTATTTCAATTTATTTGTTATAACAAATTTACAAATGTAAACTTATCATTCATTTTGATTATTACTCCATAGAAAATATTGCTATTGCGTCATTTCATGCCTAATCACCTAAAGTGTGTGCGAGTGGACTTTCTAAATTCATACATTGCATGTGGAGTTAAAATATGATTATTTGAAGTTCGTTGTATGCTGGTTTTATTTTATACACTAATATTTTAACAGTTCTTTCTATGCACTACACGGACTTCTACATTTTTTTTTGTCTGTTAGTTTAAACTTTGACATCGAGTTTGTAAACATTTTGTACTATTAATTATATTAAAACCCATTATAGATCACAGTAATTGGAACTATTTATTTATTTTAAAAGTCAGTTAGTGTGTCTGCTATGTCTAAACATTTTAGCCTATAATTTTCGATAGTAATATAATAAAGATATTATCTACAAAAAGTATAGTCATGTTTTTCTTGTAACGCTATTGCGGTTTATAATAATATAAAAGTTGACAATATTTACAATAACCCACGTATGTTAATGTAATTTTTATTATATATGTTTTTTTTAAAGTATTATCATCTACTCAGTTCAAGAACAAAATACGAAACAAAAACCATGATAAAACGCATATACTACCTACAAAAGCTATGCATGGTAGTTTCGAGAAAAAACATGTTTTAAAAATGTATATTACAATTGACCAAATTTAAAAGGAAAAACATATAGTTTTGAATTTGCCTGTTAAATTCATATTTACTAACTTTACCAATAATTATATTTTGTAAATTCAACATTAAGTCCTGTCTTCATTTCATAAAATAAATTGAGGAAATGAATAAGCTTTAAGAATATTGAGTAGAATAGAAAAATGTGTTTGCCAAATTTCAACCAATAACCTTTGATGCTGCAATTATTAATAGTAATTTAAAACTAATAGCTGTTGCGAGACGCGAAGCTGAATTGAAACTTCTTTCGGATTTGTTGGGATTTGATGGAATATAACGTTTTTCAGGAGGAATACAAATACACACGAATATATGTATATATATTTAAATAATACTTCCCATCTTGCATACGAATTAATTAAGTTTTATTCACCAATAACAATAAATATTGAAACATATGGGTTTTTTATCTTCCCTAAAACATTATCATAATATTACTCTACCTCAATAGATCAAGGATATAACATTGATGGTACAATAATTGTAGCAAACACCCACATAATATGTAAAACTTAACAGTGTTATCAATTATTAAAACAAAATGTTGTTTAAAAATTGTATACATCTATGATGTATTATATAAACAATACATAGTGTAATACATCAATTATAGCAGTAAATTATATAATATGTGTTGACCCTGTTTACGAATAAACTCTTCATAACAGACGATCATCCCTAACTGAATTCCCTAATACTAAAAGTACAAGTTTAAGTTGTTTAATTACGTCATCACCTTTACAATGTGCTTTTATCGATGTTTAATATTTTTACGATCTACTAATTGGCATTGATAGTCTTTTTTGTTATAGTGTTCTTATCACTTTCAGTATACATTTGTACTCCCATTTCATTTTATATTAGATATTAATAATATATTAGCTGATAGATAGATTTTATTTGTATTTTTTGTTTATTCAAGGTGCTTAGGAATCTGTATTAGTTGGGTATAATAACTAATAAGTATTGGATAATTTTTTATACATTAAATTTTTTTATCTATAATTGTTGTAAAATCAGGGTTCTACAACGCAAGAAAATAAATAGCTCTAACATTTTAAGTACACAAATAATAAACGCAATACTTTCAAAAACAACTTGTTTTCGAAAAAAACAATAGTAGCTTTTGTAATGTGGATCATTAAAACATAAAAATGTATGATATCTTCAGTTCTTGATCATTGATTTACATGGCAACAGTTGTTGTGAAAAACAACTTGATTTTGATAAGAAAAATATGAAACTATTCAAATATATGTAAAATACTGTATATTATAATGTAAGAAAATTAAATCTATAGCTTTTGTGTAAACATAAGATAGAAATCAAATTTAAAATGTAAGATGAATGCATAAAATATTAATGATTAAATAGATAAAGGCACTATAGGTATAAAACTAAATTTGTTATGTCGCATAAGTTTTATATAAATATGTCATGTGATTATATTATAGCTATATAAAAATCATTTTAATAAAAACTTGTTTTCGACCAAAACCAAAGTATACATTTATTTTTTTGTAAAATATGGCATTGTTCAATGTGGTAAATTTTAAAGATTTTTCATTTTTTTTACAGTGATTTTAGAAAAATAAACGCCTAAGTACACAAACGACGAAACAAAATATGAAAACAACTGGTTTTTTTCAAAGAGCAATAATAAAGTTGAATCTTTATGATACCAACAGACATTTGTCATTTGTTTACATTACAACAAACGTTGTGAAATATTCGGATACATACAGTTTTGTTTCACTCTAAGAAGCTCTTTATGTAGCAAAATCTATTAAGAGGGGAAACAAATTACATTGTAATAATATTTTAAAAATTTAAAAATAATTGTAAAAATATAAACTTAGTTAGAGGTTAAATGATACAAATGGTTTTAGAATTTTTCTTTTAACGTATTAGACTTGTTCTAAAAATTAATTTACAAAATAATGCTTGAATTTGTACTATATTTTTCTAATAATTTAGCGAATATAACTTTTGTATAAAAACCAATAACAATAGTTACAAAAATATTTTGTTACTTAAAACTTGTTTTTTGGGAAATACATTTTTTTTGTTGTGTTCAAATTGTAATAGTAAATTTGTCGTTAGCTTTTGTGTAAACAAAAGATTCAACTATCTATCTTTTAGAAGGATTTCTATGGCTATATACTGAATCTGGGGTGCACAAATTTCTGGCTACGTTACTTGATACGACTTACGTGTTATGGATAGTAACAATTGTTTATATTTTCCTATAAATCCTATAGTACATATGTATCGTCTGTACCATATATCGTAATTAACTAGTGAATGAATAAAACATTTTTCAAATATATGCGTTATACAGCTACAGTAAAGTACCTTATCTTTATAGATCCCACATCATCATGCCACGACTCCACAACAGTAGCCTTAAATGTTAATTATATTTATAACTCACCCTCTTCCCACCATCACGGGTGATGAATTTTTTTGTTTTATAGATGTTATTGTAAGACCTTATAGTTGTAAATATCGAGCGCGTGTTTTGTTAAAATAATAACACGTTTTCATATTAAACTTAAAAAAAATATGTGTTATACTCGTGTACAAATACATACATAGGTTTGAAAAAACAGATGTGTAACGTTCTGATGATTTAGGCTTAACTAATTTTAATATTACAAAAAAAAACTCAATTAAAAACATGTCAAAATTAAGTTATAACTATTTAAAATATCGAGCTGTTTATATAGCTCCAAAAGGCCTAAGTTAACTTCAACATGTTCTACTAAATTTGTTTCCACAAGCTCAAACTGGAAGCATTTAGTTTTGTCGTATATGTACATGAGTGTTTGAACTATTTATTTTCTTGTAACATAGAACTCTGATTTTACAATAATATAATTACAGTCATAGGAAATGAACAGATGGATGTAAATTTAAAATTCAAACGTTCATATACTTAAAAAAACGACGTCCATACTTGTATACATAAAACAAGATTGACTTATGAATGCATTAAAACTTTCGTGGATTGATATATCAACTGAGTGAGTTTCGGATATATCCTTGTCGAATGTTTGACGTGGATAAATCCGAAACTCACACAGTTGAATATTGACTTTTTTTTAAAATAGCAAAAATTTTTAAAATTCTACAAAAACTACTAATAAAAATATATTATTGTTTTTTTTTTGGAAAACCAGTTGTTTTTTTAAATATTGCATTTTATTATTTGTGTTCTTAATATGTTAGATCTATTTATTTTCTTGCATAGTAGAACCCTGATTTTACAATAATTATTGTTGAATTTTTAAATAGTTTTATCCAATACTTATTATACATAACGAACCCAACTAATACATTTTAGGTTAAAGTTTCAACTAAAAGACAAATAAAAATATTTAAATGTCCTTGTAATGGCATATCGTGTATTTGTACATGAGTATCCTACATTTTTTTTAGTTTGATATTAAACCATGTTATTATTTGAACAATACACGCGCACGATATTTTCAACTTTAAGGTCTTAAACTTACAAAAAAATGTCATCACCCGTGATGGGGAGAGGAGGGTGAAGAAAAAGTATTATTACTCATGTTATTCGATGCAAAACTTAAATAAATAAGAAGCTAAAACAAAAAAAAAACATAATTCTGCTAAACGTATTTAACAAACAATGAGCTCATAAACAATAACAATACATAAATAATTACAAATTGTTCACTCCCTTCGCCTACAAAATAAGACAAACATATATCTCTATATAATGTAAGCAGCAAACGTACCGTTGATCTAGTATAGTATTCAACATCCTTGGTGTTTAGTTATATTAACTACTTGAAAAAAATGAACTTAAAAAGCATAATTTGTATTTTAACCACCATATTTTTTATAATGATGTCGGGTGTATCAGCTTTGGACGATCCAGAAGGTATAAAACACTTTATTAGTAGTATATCATTTTTTATAATTTTTTTTTTATTGTATCTTTGACTAACAAAATTATATCAAATATTTCGAATTCTGTAATAGTTTTTACCCGTTTTTTCGACTTTTCTATGAACTTTTACTTCTATTTTACCTTTTTTATACCTTATTTCATTTTGTCTTTAAGCGTTTTTACGGACATCCCAATTTGAAAATATGCACACATTATATAATATTTCCTCAGCTTTCTGAATAAAATTAAAAGAATAATTCTCAATTTTCAGGCAATACGAAACCTAACCTAACCTACCTAACCTAACCTAACTTTTTAGCTAATAAACTCAATTTAAAGGACATTCTATTAAAAATAAATATTTTTTTTAGAAAACTGATATTATTTAAGGCCAAAATAATCCAAACAAATTGGAGAACAATTTTTTTTTAAAATTTAATAATTGACATTGTGTATATACCTACCATATTTTGGTCATACATTAGTTTCTAGAAAAATGTCAATTTTTGATTCATTTTAACTTTCTAATTTATTGCTTATGCAAATGTATAACAATTAGACCACGTTCGAAAACAAACAAAAATTAACAATTTTCTGTATTATTTTGTAGTTGAATTGACGAGTTTTTTGCAATATTTATTTTATTCATGTAGAAAAATATCTATCAAATAACCCATTTAAAACGAATACATATTAAAACAATTGTGTACGTATCCCTAGAATAATGAGCCATATAATGCATTGGGATAAATAAAATATTTTAGTAATTCTTTTTGAAATTTCAGCTGATCGTTTACGTGTACAACCTAATGGCCGTAAGTTTTTAAAACTGCTATAACTTATATAAATTACAAAAGTGTAATTGAATATACATTTTAATTATTCGTTATTCAAATAACTGTAAAAAGTTTGATGATAATACCAGTCTTTGTCCTTTGCAAAAATACTATTAATGCATTGTTGATGATAAAAATAAGTTTATCATGTCCATAAGCATTTATTATATACAATTGTGTGTCTAGCGAAGAAATTATAATTAGTGGCTAACACTAATTTAAACGCTTTAGATAAGCAACTAAAAACTATTACACCAGTATAGATTCTTGAAAATTAAAAATTAAGTTGGAATCGGTTATTGTGTCGGTGTTTCAGCACGACCAGGAGGTTTACCACCACAAATACCAGGACAAGATGATCTACCGGGTGGTAAGTTTTTGAGACTTATTTACTAAAACTTATATAGCTTAATTCAAATAAAATAATTAAAATTAAGGGCTTAAATTGTTTTAAAAAAATATATATAACCCTGGTGCATAATGATAACATAGGTTTGCATTGTTTACTGTGTGTACAGTGTTTACTGTGTTAAAAAAAACACTGCAATATCAGTAAATTGAATTATTTCGGACAATGAAAAGTCTTTGTTAGTAATTACTAGTGCTTTATAATAATTAATTAACTGTAGGTTTTGAGTTTAACTTTTTCAGCGTAACCACTAATGTAAAAAATATTACTCGTATAGATATATGTTATTCACTTTGATGCAAAACTTAAATAAATAAGTTGCTAAAACAACAAAATAAGTTTGTTTAAAAAATACAATTTGCGGCTAACATATTTAAACGCTTTAAATCAACAACTTAAAATTGTTATACCAATATAGGTACTTGCGAATTAAAAATTAAATTGGAAAAACGATATTTAAAATAGTTTTTCGGTGCAGCACATATCTCTCTAAATAACATAAGCAGCAAACGTACTGTTGCTCTAGTATAGTAGATATTCTACTTCCTCGGTGACTTTACTTAAACTTTAAATCCGATAATTCATATTTTATTTAGCGTTTTAAATTTTGTATTTTGAGTATACTATTAAATAATTTTTACTTTTAAAATTAATTTTAATACCATATATTAGATTTTAACCACATTGATTTACATTATTATATATTAGCGTTTGCAGTAGTACGACCACTACTACCACCACAACCACCACAACCAGCACCACCGCCACCACCACCACCGGCGAGTAAGTTTTTAAGACTTAAATAAAACGTATATAGGTTATAAAAAAGTAATTCATTATGCAATTTCATCTTTCTTTTTCAAAACCACTGTAAGTTGAAAGATTGTATAAGTTTTTGTGAGTTGCAAAGATACTAGCAGTTTTAAAACTATTTTCAATAAAACTGAAAATTGTTAAATTATTATAGTACCTTTTTTTTTAAAAACGAATTTTTTATACATGTCTTATATTTTAAATTAACATTTATTCCGAAATTCAAAGAATGGATACTAGTAAATCCTAAGATTTAACTTAAAATGAAACCACCTTGTACTTAATACATTTATAAAGAAGCCTATCTTAATTTGAATTAAAATCCAAGTGTTTGCTAATTATAGTTAAACGATTTTTTTACATAATATTTTAATATATTTATTTTTTTTAGATCCATGAAGTATCCATCATCTGTTTCACATTCCGAAAATATATATGCTTACTAATACGTGTATATTGTAAAACGTTCATCTTTGTTTATCATAATTTATTGTGTTTCAACCTTCCGATTTTTCCAATAACAATGTATTCCAAATTCCATATTTTGTTGCCAATCATATTAAATATCTATTACATATACCTGTCTACCAATAAAAATAATATTCACCCGTTTAAGTAAATTTGTATTTTATTAATAAAGAGAGTGATTATCACCTTTTTCCTCGTCCCAGAATGTATTGCATTTAAATAGTTGTTCCATTTTAAAACTCACATTTAAAAATGTATTTTTATTTAGTTAACATAACAGAATATGTTAATAAAAAGTAATTTGTTTTCGGGGAACAACAAATTATATCGGTACCAACTAAACTGTGATATCCATGATTCGAGCCTAATTCTGAAAATAAATATGATTACTTATTTGTGTATACTTGGATGTATATTGGAAAATGTTCATCTTTGCTTATCATAATTGGTTTTTAACCTTCAGATTATTCTAATAACAATCCATTCCAAATTACACATTTTGTAACCTATCAAATACGGGGTAATTTTTTTTATCATGGGCCAGGCAATATCCCATTATGTTTAATTAGGTAATAATTAAAATTTTTTTTTTCATAATGTTCTATTATAATATGATCTCAATTTCACCCAATTTTTGTTTGTTTTACACCCTTTACAAACTAGTTTTTTTGACAGCAACGTTACAAAAACTTGTTTAATGTAACCAAATAAAATCCACCTTGACCAGATGTCTATTTATTTTCTATTGACAACCACTGTCTTTTATTTTACCGTACTCTGAACGCGTAAAACTATAATAGCTTTGATAACTGGTATCCATTTTTCAATAATTATTTGATTTATTTTTCGTAGTACATTTATAATTGAAGTTTTAAATTTTTGTACGAGAAAATCTTTGTAAGAAAATTTGTTTTAAAAATATAAGTTTTTGAATTTGGTATTATAAAACCTTAAAATATAGTTGATAAGGTGGATATCGATAGAAAATGCACAGGCGTGGAGGCCTTTAGTCAAGGTGGATTTTGTTTGGTTACATTAAACAAGTTAAGTGTAGTAATTCTCGTAACATAAGAACTCAAAGTAAATTAAAAATAGACTTTAGAGAAACAAAATAAAAAAACAAGTGTCATCTTTATTCTTTCCCTTAAAGATAATATACTGCAACATGATAATATCTTGTGACCTTCCTCTTTACGAAGCTAAACTATCAGCAGACGTTTGTCTAAATTGTTTGTTTAGTTATTCGGATAGTTTTTTGTTGTTCCAAATAATTTGACTTTAATTATTATATTTTCTGGTCAGGTGGCACTACTGAGAGCCTTCCTATTCACACATTATGTCATTGCATAGTTGTCATCAGACTTGCTGATTATACATATTTTGTATAGATTGTAAATAAAGAAAATATATTTTTAATAAAAAAAAAAAATTATTACTATTGTTTTTTTGAAGAGCTTTTTATTTTTTTAAATTATTAGCATATAAACGGTTACAAAAATACATGGAGTTTTTGTTAGTTGTTAAAAATAATTGTAAAAATATAAACTAAGTTAGAGGTTAAATGGTAGAAATGGTTTTAGAATTTTTCTTTTAACGTATTAGACTTGTTCTATAAATTAATTTACAAAATAATGTTTGAATTTGTACTATATTTTTCTAAGAATATAGCGAATATAAATTTTGTATAAAAACCAATAACAATACTTACAAAAATATTTTGTTACGTATAACTTGTTTTTTGGGAAACACATTTTTTTTGTTGTGTTCAAATTGTAAACATAAATTTGTCGTTAGCTTTTGTGTAAACAAAAGATTTAACTATCTATCTTTTAGAAGGATTTCTATAGGTATATACTGAATCTGGTGTGCACAAATTTCTGGCTACGTTACTCGATACGACTTACTTGTTATGGATAGTAACAATTGTTTATATTTTCCTATAAATCCTATAGTACATAAAAAATATTTTTCAAACTATATGCGTTATAGCTATAGTAAACCTTATCTCTATAGATCCCACATCATCATGCCACGACTCCACAACAGTAGCCTTAAATGTTAATTATATTTATACCTCACCCTCTTCCCACCATCACGGGTGATGATATATTTTTTTTTATAGATGTAATTTTACCTTTTAGTTGAAAATATCGTGCGCGTGTATTGTTCAAATAATAACATGTTTTTATATTAAACTAAAAAAATATGTGTTATACTCATGTACAAATACATACATAGGTTTGAAAAAAAAAGATATGTGTAACGTTCTGATGATTTAGGCTTAACTAATTTTGATATTGCAAAATAAAACTCAATTAAAAAATCCACAAGCTCAAACTGGAAGCATTTAGTTTCGATATGTACTTGAGTGTTGGAACTATTTATTTTCTTGTAACATAGAACTCTGGTTTTACAATAATATAATTACAGTCATAAAATTCAAACGTTTATATACTTAAAAAAACTGGACGTCGTTTTTTGGACGTCCATACTTGTATACATAAAACAAGATTGACCTATGAATGCGTTAAAACTTTCGTGGATTGATATATCAACTGAGTGAGTTTCGGATGTATCCATGTCGAATGTTTGACGTGGATAAATCCGAAACTCACTCAGTTGAAGATTGACCATTTTTTTAAAATAGCAAAAAATGTTTTAAAATTCTACAAAAACTACTAATAAAAATATATTATTGTTTTTTTTTTTTGGAAAACCAGTTGTTTTTTTAAATATTGTATTTGATTATTTGTGTTCTTAATATGTTAGATCTATTTATTTTCTTGCATAGTAGAACCCTGATTTTACAATAATTATTGTTGAATTTTTAAATAGTATTATCCAATACTTATTATACGTCATACCGAACTCAACTAATACATTTAAGGTCAAAGTTTCAACTAACAGACAAATAAAAATATTTAAATGTCCTTGTAATGCATAGGAATTCCTCCTATCTAAAGATTAGTTAATTAAGCCAGCCTACAACGAAGTTCAAATAATCATATTTTAACGCCGCATACAATGTATGAATTTAGAAAATCCACTAGCACACACTTTAAGGATGATTAGGCATAAAATGACACGATAACATTATTTTCTAAGGACTATAATCTACAATCGACAGATGTCAAAAAAAATTTTAATATAAAAAAAAATGTCATTAATTAATTTCATATACAGCGGTGAAATGACAGTGTTGCCATAGCACTACATCTGTCTTAACTTTAGTTTTCAGTTTTCGTACATTAAGTTAAACTGTGCATAAAAAACGTAATGGGTAAAAAGGGTTAATGGTAATTTCTGGGTTCAAGACTGTGTACATCTGTATTAAGAACTGTTTTAATTATTTTTCACAACATTATTGCACGCTGTACTCAAAATTTGTACATTTTTTAATCTTAGGAACATCTTATCTATAGGGGTATAAAAAACTAAAAAAAAAAGAAAATGCGTGCTTAAATTGTTTTAAAAATGTATGAGAAATCCTAACTTTACATTTTAGTTTTCACACCACTAGTATGAAAAATATTACTCATATGTTATTTAATTATTGCTGCAAAACTTAAATAAGTAATAAGTTGAAAACGATCAGATATGAGTAACATTCTGATGATTTAGGCTTAACTAGTTTTAACATTGCAAAATAAAACAGTATGGTCACGGAATTTGAACAGTCGAGACCACTATTGCCCTGAAGATGGACTCTGCATAGAATCCAAAACGCTGGCACACAACATTCGACGTGGATATATCCGAAACTTACTCAGTTGAGTTAAAATAAAACTCAATTAAAAACATGTCAAAGTTAAGTTATGTCTATATAAAATAATATTGTTCCTAGACCGAGCTGTTTTTATAGTCCCAAAAGGCCTAACTTAACTTCAACATGTTCTTAATAAATTTGTTTTCACAAGCTCAAACTCAGTTAGGCCATCACAATATCACATATAATTTTTCGTTTTAATCAACAATTTTTGTAGTTATAAGAAATAATGTACATTTTAGCTTCGTAACGTTTTCAATACCTGACTAAAAATAAAAAAATAATGTTTTTTCAACCAAAATCCAAAATTACACTTATTTTGTGGTTGAATTATAGTTTTACCTTTAACATATTAGTAGTTTTTAAAAAAAATATTTGTATTTTTACTTCTTTTTTTCGTAACAAGTTCTATACAGGAATTAAGTTAATATTTTTACAATTATAATAGCTTAATATTATTACTTAATATTACTATAGTTCCCCCCTGAATAAATTCAGCTACATAAGGCTATTATTTAGAGCTTATTAGACTTAAATTAAAATATTATGCATTCCGCTATTTCACAACGGCTGTTGTAATGTAAATAATGATAAATGTCTGTTGGTATCTAAAAATTCAAATTTATATTGCTCTGTATCAAAAGCAAATTGTTTTCATATTTGGTTTTTTAGCACTAAACACAATGTAAACAAATAAAAATATTTTAAAACAACCTTTATTATACTTTTGCTGTTGCTCTTTATGAAATAATTCACTATAGTTTATAGCTATTCTTTATAGTATACACTATTATTTATGTAACAATTGAGTACTATCACACAAGCACATATTTTAGGCATTTTGGAAACACAAATAATATGTGCCAAAGCATACTTGAACATCAATTATGTAATAAAAAAACAATTACAATTGAATAGAAAAATATAACATGTGTTGCAATTTTAATAAACGCAAGAGAATAGTTTAAACATTGTTTGCTAAAATTTATGTAACAAGTTGTATTAATATACTATACTTCAAATAATAATAATTAAACTCAAGGACCTTATTATCCTTATCTTTTTATCGTAAGTGGTAAAATAAGTAATTCAAATTTTCTGTTATATCTTCTGTTTACACAATTGCTGACAATACATTTATTATTACAATATGAACACCTTAAAAAAAATGTGGTAACTAGAAAACATGATATACGTAGGTAACAAAACACTTTTTGAGGTATTATTATTGGTTTAAATACAACATTTGTATTCACTATATTTTTGGAAAAATATGGTATAAATTCAAACGTTCAGAAACAAAAATAATAAACAATGATTTCTTGTTAAATCGTTTACAAAATCACATTATTTTGTAAATTAAATTAATTTATAGAACACCTTTAATAAGTTAAAAGAGAAACCATGAACTATTACTACTATTTATCCTCAAACTAAGTTTATATTTTTACAATTTTTATAATATTATTACAAAGTAATTTTGTTTCCCCCCTTATAATTGTTTTATTGGAAAACCAGTTGTTTTTTTAATTATTGCGTTTGATCATATGTGTACTTATAATATTAGAACTATTTATTTTATTGCATAGTAAAACCCTGATTTTACAATAGTTATAGATGAATTTTTAAATGGTATTATCCAATACTTATTATACATATCTAACCCAACTAATACATTTTAGGTAAAAGTTTCAACTAACAGACAAATTAAAATATTTAAATGTCCTTGTAATGGATAGGAATTCCTCCTATCTAAAGATTAGTTAATTAAGCCAGCTTATAATAAGTTCAAATAATTATATTTTAACCCCGCATACAATGTATGAATTTAGAAAATCCACTAGCACACACTTTAGGGGTAATTAGGCATAAAACGACACGATAACATTATTTCCTATGGACTATAATCTACAGTCGACAGATGTCTAAAACAATGTAATATAAAAAAAAAAATGTAATTAATTAATATTATATAAGGCGGTGAAAGAACAGTGTTGCCATATCACTAGATCTATCTTAATTTTAGTTTTTAATTTTTATACATTAAGTTATATGCACAACTGTGCATAAAAAACGTAATGGGTAATAAGGGTTAATGGTCATTTCTGGGTTCAAGACTGTGTACATCTGTATTATTAGCAGTTTTATTTATTCTTCACAACATTATTGCACGCTGTATTCAAAATTTCTAAAATTTGTAATCTTAGAAAGTTATATAGGGGTATACCAAACTAAAAAAAAAGAAAATGCGAGCTTAAATTGTTTTAAAAATGTATATGAAATCCTAACCTTTATATTTTAGTTTTCCTACCACTAGTATGAAAAATATTACTCATATGTTATTCAATTATTGCTGCAAAACTTAAATAAATAAGTTGCTAATACAATAAAAGAAGTTTGGCTGTATTAAACTAGGTTCTAAAATCAAAAACAATAATTTTTGTGTGTTGTTTACACGTTTTATTCGTAACAATAGTACATGAAATGTACTTCATTCGGCCAAACATATTTAACAAACAATGAACACATACACAATAACAAACATAAACAATGAACAAATAAGAATTTAAAAACTTAAAAGTCCCATTTAAATTAAAGAAGTCAAAATTTTTATTTCCATTGAACAAAAAAATAATATAGGTACTTATTATTTTATTAACATAAATACTTATATATTTAATAGTTTCAACATGAGGCTGCATGTAATTTTGTTATATGTAAAGCATATCAGATCAGATATCTTAGCTGATTGGTACTTTATTTATTTTTTGTTTATTCAAGTTGTTTAGGAAAATGTATTGGTTGGGTATTATAACTAATAAGTATTGGATAATTAAATTAAAGATTTCATCATAATTATTGTAAAATCAGGGTTCTATATTGCAAGAAAATAAATAGTTCGAACATTTTAAGTACGCAAATAATAAACGGAATACTTTCAAAAACAACTTGTTTTTGAAAAAAACAATAGTAGTTTTTTTAATGTATATTGTTAAAACTTAAAAATGTATGATATCTCCAGTTCTTGGTCGTTAATTTACATGGCAACAGATGTTGTGAAAAACAACTTGTTTTCGATAAGAAAAATATAAAACTATTCAAATAGTTGTAAAATACTGTATATTATAATGTAAGAAAATAAATCTATAGCTTTTGTGTAAACATAAGGTAGAAATCAAATTTAAAATGCATAGTTGAATGCATAAAATATTAATGATTAAATATATAAAGGCACTATAGTTGTATGACTTAAGGTGTAAAGTAGCATAGGTACATTGTATTAGTATGTTTTTTTTGTTAATATTATATCTATATAAAAATAATTTTAATGAAAACTGGGTTTCGACCAAAATCAAAATTACATTTTTTTTGTAAAATATAATATTGTTTAACGTATTAAACTTTAAAGATTTTTCTTTTTCTTTACATTACTACAGTAATTTCAGAAAAATGGCTCAAACACTTAAATACACAAACGACAAAACCAAATATGAAAACAACTGATTTTTGCTAAAAAACAATTGCAAAAATGTATAGTCCGTCTTTAGGTGTGAAAAATCCAACGGCACAAAAAAAATATGTATTTGTATAGACCAAGTACAAGTGTTTGACGCAACCTTTAAATCAATATAAGATTCTAAAACAATAAGAAAATGTATAGTTTCGTTGTATTGAACTAGATTTTTGAACCAAAAACAATTGTGTGCTGTTTACACGTTTTATTCGTAATAATAGTACATGATTTGTACTTCATTCGACCAAACATATTTAAAAAACAATTAACTTATACACAATAACAAACATAAACAATGAACAATGTACACTCCCCTCAAACCTACCAAACGATACAAACATTTTAGAATTATTTGCAACACATATCGTGTATTTGTACATGAGTATCCTACATTTTTTTTAGTTTAATATTAAAACATGTTATTATTTGAACAATACACGCGCACGATATTTTCAACTATAAGGTCTTAAACTTACAAAAAAATGCCATCACCCGTGATGGGGAGGGTAGGGTGAGGAAAAAGTATTATTACTCATGTTATTCGATGCAAAACTTAAATAAATAAGATGCTAAAACAATAAAAAAACATAATTCTGCTAAACGTATTTAACAAACAATGAACTCATAAACAATAACAATACATAAATATTTACAAATTGTTCATTCCCTTCGCCTACAAAATAAGTCAAACATATCTCTATATATAATGTAAGCAATAAACGTACTGTTGCTCTAGTAAAGTATTCTACATTCTTGGTGTTTAGTAATATTAACTACTTGAAAAAATGAATTTGAAAAGTATAATTTTTATTGTAGCCACCATATTTTTTATAATGATGTCGGGTGTTACAGCTCCAGCTCCAATAGGTATAAAAACATTTTTAGTATATAATTTTAAAAATTTTTTTTTTAATAGTATCTTAAGCCAACAAAATTATTTCAAATTCTATGGTCGTTTTTACCAGTTTTTTCGACTTGTTTATGAAATTTTATCGCATAATTTACCTTTTTATACCTCATTTAAATTTTTTTCTAAGAATTTTTATGGAGATTCCAATTTGAAACTATGTACACACTATGTAAAATTTCGTCAGCTTTCTGTTTAAAATAGTAGAAACATTTTTAGATAATAAACTCAATTTTAATTGCTTTTGTGTTACGCGAAAAAAAAATTCATATTTTTTTCAGAAAGCTGATATAATTTTACGTAAATATCTAACTTGTAATAACTTAATTTTTATGTACGAAGATACTATAAATAATAATAATAAAAAAAAAATTTTTCCATTCATATAATGCATTGGGATAAATTAAAATTTTTTTTCGATATTTCAGCTCCTGACACGAAGGACCATGTTCCCCGTAAGTTTTTTAAACTGCTATAGCTTATATAAATTTCAAAAGTGAAATTGATTATCCATTTTTATTATTCGTTATTCAAATGACTGTAAATTGGATAATAATATCAGTTTTTGTGTGCTTTACAAAGATACTAGTAGTTTTACAATTTATTTTCGAAAAGCTGAAAATAAGTATAAATTGTTATTAAACATTGTTGATAAATTAATGACGATTATTATGTCCATAAACATATTATTATAAAAAACTGTATGTATAGTAGAAAAATTGTTTCAAAAATGCAGTTTGTGAAAATACAAGTTTTCAAATAAATAACTAAATTTTAATGACTTTTTGTCACGCAAAAAATTAATCAAAATTTTTTGCCAGATTAATATTTATTTTTTGAATGTAGAAAAATATCTACCTAAAAATCCTTTCAAAACGAATAAATATTAAAACAACTGTGTACTAGCCCTATAACAATGAGCCACATGATGCATTGGGATAAATCAAATGTTTAAGTAATTTTTTTCGATATTTCAGCTCTTATTGATGTTGGAAACACTCTACCCAGTAAGTTTTTGACACTGCTATAACTTATATAAATATCAAAAGGGATGTAAGTTTGTTGTATGTATGTTTATTATGTCCATAAACATATTATTTTATAAAACGGTATGTCTAATTGAAAAATTGTTTGAAAAATATAATTTGTAAAAACACAACTTTTTAGACAATAAACACAATTGTAATGACTTTCTGTTACGCGAAAAAAAATTAATATTTTTTCAGAAAGCTGATATTATTTTACATACAAATTGGATTTGTAAAATTTTTTTTTTTTGGTGTACGATGATACTATAATAATCCAAAAAAAAAATTATTTTCATCTTAACAGACATGCTTAAAATCATACTTTGTTTCTAAAAAAAATGTCAATTTCTGATTTATTATATAACCTTTGGATTTTTATGAAAATTTATATCAGTTAGATCCTGCACGAAAGCAAAAAAATATTTATTTTATGAATGTAGAAAAATACCTATGAAAACAATCCATTAAAAACGAATATATATATATGTATTGAAAGTTGAAACAACTGTGTACTTAGCCCTAGAACAATAAGCCGTATGATTCCTTGGAATAAATTAAATATTTAAGTAATTTTTTTCGATATTTCAGCTGTTCTAAATCCAGTTGCACCCCATGTCCCTGAAAGTAAGTCTTTTTTGACGCTGCTATAACTTATATAAATTTCAAAAGTAAAATTAAATACACTATAAATAATAATCCAAAAAAAAAAAAAATTATTTCCATTCATATAATGCATTGGGATAAATTAAAAATATTTAAGCAATTTTTTTCGATATTTCAGCTCCTGACACGAAGGACCATGTACCCCGTAAGTTTTTTAAACTGCTATAGCTTATATAAATTTCAAAAGTGAAAATGATTATCCATTTTTATTATTTGTTTTTCAAATGATTGTAAGTTGGAAGAAAATATCAGTTTTTGTGCTTTGCATAATACTAGGAGTTTTTTAATTATTTTCAAAAAGCTGCAAAAATTGTATAAAATTTAAAAAAAAAGTATCAGAAAAAAACTAAAGATACTTTAACGACCAAGACCAAAATAATGTACTTTATACATTTTTATAGAAGCCTAACTTAATTTGAATTCAAATCAATGTGTAAGCTATAAATAAACAATTTTTTTCCACAATATTTGTTTTTTTAGCTAAATAACGGTAGTTCAATTTACCAACAAAGTTGCAGTATCCAAGATCAGTTTCACATTTTGAAAATACATATGTTTATTAATACGTGTATTTTGTAAAATCATCATCTTTGTTTATCATAATTATTATGTTTCATCCTTCAGATTTTTCTAATAACAATGTATTCTAAAAAACATATTCTGTTACCTATCATATAAATTATATCATGTCTTATACCATTTACCAATAAAAACAATATTCACCGAATAAGTAAATTTGTATTTTATTACCTAGTCTAATTTAACTATATTTTTTTACTAAAATTAGTACATTTTTCGACAGTAATATAATACAAATATTATAATTTTATAACTTTTTAAGTTATAACAAATATAAATGTACAATACATTTTGATTATTTACTATCTATAATCTTTATGCTCTTGATTTAACCTTGAACCTTTTTAATACTTAAACAAGCATAATTTTCGATAGTAATAATTTTATTACTATCGATAATATTTATATTTACAAATATTATCTACAAAAAGTTTAGTCATGTTTTTCTTGTAGCGCTACTGCGGTGTATAATAATATAGAAGTAAACAACATTTATAATAACCTACGTATGGTATTTTTTAGTGTGTATGTTTTTTAAAAGTATTATTATCATCTACTCAGTTCAGGAACAAAAAATAACTACCTACAAAAGCTATGTATATTGTTGGCTACAAGAAAAAATATGTTTTAAAACCGTACTGAGATATTGACTGGCCCAAGATAAAAAAAATCATCCTGTATATAATATTACCATTTCATGCTTTTACTTCTGATTCATCCTTTTTATTTTATTTATTTTAAAATGTCTATTGGTATATTGTTATATATGAAACAACTATTTAAATTCATTTTATATAATAAATTTACAAGTATAAACATTTAGTGAATTTTGATTATTAACTATCTATACTCCATAGAAAATATTGTTATTGTGTCATTTCATGCCTAATCACTTAACGTGTGTGCGAGTAGATTTTCTAAATTCATACATTGTATGCGGATTGAAGGTATGATTATTTGAAGTTCGTTGTAAGCTGGCTTTATACAATAATCTTTTAACAGTCCCTCCTATGCATTACATGGAGATTTAAATATTTTAAAATCAACAATAAGAAATGTATACATGGCTTTGTGCATTTAAATTCTATTAAATGGTATAACTTGTTGGGGTGGCACAAATAGAACAGAAATTGCTTCAATACACACTGCCCAAAAATATTTTTAAAAAGGTAGCGTACTCCTTTCCGCTAACACATCCTTCAGCGGAATTATTTAATTGTACAAATACATTATCAGTTTATAAATTATATATTAGACAAGTTTTAATAAAATCTATACAGTGGCATAGATTAAACGATAAAGAACGTCTAGACAGGAGAACAGGAAAATTGACAAAAACACCATTTGCATCCCTTTCTAGCTCAATAAGCTCCTCCGAGTACATGTGTAAAATGATATTTAATAATTTAGATAATGATGTAAAGAGTCTAATGAAAATGTGCTAACTTTTTACTGGTTAAAATATTAAACATGCTACTCTGTGTTGTAGCCTCCGAACACAGTGCAATACTCGAAATAAAAACTTGAAATACAAAGCTAAAAAATCATACTCTTTAGTTATACTATACAAATCAGTATGATTCATATTTTGTACATTACTTGATATCTTATATTACAATATTCTAGTTAATACATTTATCGTCATTGTGTTTATTGTTACGGACCCACCCTTTTCAGGGCTAATAGATACATACATATATATATATATTACACTGTACAACTTATCAGGACTAACATATACATATATCTATATATTATATTATATAACTTCTCATTGTTAAATATTGCTAAATATGAATGCACCACACGTGCCGATTTCACATCAGACCCAAAAGGTCATTACAGCATCTTGCGAAAGCAGACAACTTGTAATTCTGTTCACAGTTGACCTCAACAACGAGGCCAACCACTAAAAGGAACTTAACGTTTTGGCAACTACCGTGCGAATCTCACCTCGAAGCTAGCCAATTTCGACCATGCGAAGGCTGCACTCTCATGCCTCTACCCTTCCTCCACCGTTGACATAAGCGGATGTCATGGACGAGCGAGGTCATCCACGCGCGGACTTTTGATAATTGCGAGGATTCCCACGGCCATTCAACGAGCGGACCAGCATAAAAGGGAGAACTTGAGTCATAGCAGAGCAGATGTGCTGGGACCACGACACACTACACTTGAAGTTTCTACCTATCATCTTCTTTTGAAGTCTTAAGCGGCTTATAATTGTTTTAAACATCATATTTATGAAGCATACTGAACTTATGCTATTAACTGTTTGTCGTTGTACTTGTTTTATAAGTATATTAAATTAAATGTTTGTGATTTACTCTGAAGTTATTCTATTAAATATCTAAAAACCTACTACCACGATTGTGACAAGGCTCAAACAGCCTGCAATACATACGTACACGGCTACAGGGTTGTTACAGTACTCTGAAATGCGTAAAACTTCAATAGCTTTGTTAACTGTTATCGACTTTTCAATAATTATTTGATTTATTTTTCACAATACATTTTACGGCTCTATTTCATTGCGATTTTTATTAATACCTAATAACAAACTTACGCACCTTTGTAATCTAAAAGCTAATTATTATTTGAATACAAAATGTATACATTAAAATTAGCTTTAAAAATACTGCAACGAGAAAATCTTTGTAAGAAAATTTGTTTTAAAAATAAATGTTTTTTGAATTTGGTATTATAGAACCTTAAAATATAAAACCTTATAGTTGATAAGCCGAATTTTGATAGAAAATGCACAGGCGTGGAGACCTCTAGTCAAGGTAGATTTTATTTGTTTACATTAAACAAGTTATGTGTAGTAATGTCTCATAACTTAAGAACTCAAAGTAAATTTGAAATGGACTTTAAAGAAACAAAATAAAAAAACCAGTGTCATCTTTATTCTTTTCCTTAAAGATAATATACTGCAACATGATAATATCTTGCGACCTTTCTCTTTTTGAAGCTTAACTATCAGGAGACGTTTGTCCAAATTGTTTGTTTAAATATTCGGATAGGTTTTTGTTGTTCTGTTTTTTTTTCTAATGTTGCTATCAAAAAAACTAGTTTGTAAAGGGGGTAAAAACAAAAAAAAATTAAGAGAAATTGAGATCACATTATATAACAACATTATGAAAAAAAAAATTCAGTTATTAATTAAACTTAGTGAGATATTGACTGGCCCATGATGAAAAAAATTACCCTTTATTTGATAGGTAACAAAAAATGTTATTTGGAATGGGTTGATATTAGAGTAATCTGAAGGTTGAAAAACTATTATGATGAGCAAAGATGAACATTTTACAATATACATCCAAATATACACAAATAAGTAATCATATTTATTTTCAGGATGAGGCTCGAATCATTGATATCGCAGTTTAGTTGGTACCGATATAATTTGTTGTTTACCGAAGACAAATAATTTTTTTTTAACATATTCTGTTATGTTAACAAAATAAAAAAAAAATACTTTTTTAAACGTGACTTGTAAAATGGAACTACTATTTAAATGCAATACATTCTGGGACATGGAAGAAGGATAATCACTCTCTTTAATAGAAAAATATCTTTGTTAATAAAATACAAATTTACTTAAACGGGTGAATATTGTTTTTATTGGTAGACAGGTATGTGTAATAGATATAATATTTATTATGACTGGCAACAAAACATGGTATTTAAAATACATTCTTATTAATAAAAATCGGAAGGTTGAACACAATTATGATAAATAAAGATGAACATTTTACATTATACACATATTAGTAAGTATACATATTTTCAGAATTTGAAACAAATGTTGAATACTTCATGGACCTAAAAAAATAAATATATATTTAAATATGATGTAAAACATCGTTTAATGATAAATAGCAAACACATGGATTTTAATTCAAATTAAGACAGGCTTCTTTATAAATGTATTAAGTATAGGTGGTTTCATTTTAAGTTAAATCTTAGGATTTACTAGTATCCGTTGTTTGAATTTCGGAATAAATGTTAATTTAAAATATCGGACTTGTAAAAAACATTCGTTTATACAAAAAATAAAATATAATAATTTTACAATTTTCAGCTTTATTGAAAATAATTTTAAAACTGCTAGTATCTTTGCAACTCACAAAAACTTATACAATCTTTCAACTTACAGTGATTTGGAAAACGAACGATAAAATTGCATAATGAATTACATTTTTATAACCTATATAATTTTTATTTAAGTCTCAAAATCTTACTCGGTGGTGGTGATGGTTGTGCTACTGGTGGTGCTGGTGGTACATAAACTGATATATAATAATGCAAATCAAAGTGGTTAAAATCAATTATATGGTATTAAAATTAATTTTCAAAGTTTAACTTAGTAAATAGTATATTAAAAATATAAAATTTAAAACGCTAAATTAAATATAAATTATCGGATTTACAGTTTAAGTAAAGTTACCGAGGAAGCAGAACGCCTACTATACTAGAGCAACAGTACGTTTGCTGCTTATGTTATTTAGGGAGATATGTGCTGCACCGAAAAACTATTTCAAATACATGTTTTTCCAATTTAATTGATATAATAATTTTAAGTTGTTGATTTAAAGCGTTTAAATTTGTTAGCCGCATTTTTTAAACAAACTTCTTTTGTTGTTTTAGCAACTTATTTATTTAAGTTTTGCATCAAAGTGAATCAAATATGAGTAATACTTTTTACATTAGTGGTTACACTGAAAAAGTTAAATTCAAAACCTACAGTTAAATAATTATTATAAAGCACTAGTAATTACTACCAATGACTTTTCATTGTCCGAAATAATTCAATTTACTGATATTCCAATGTTTTTTTAACACAGTGTTTATTAATGCAAACATATGTTATCCAGAATTACATATATATTTTAAAAAAATTGTAGTCCTTAAGTTTATTTATTTTATTCGAATAAAGCTATATAAGTTTTATTAAAGTCTCAAAAACTTACAACCCGGTGGATCGTCTTGTCCTGGTCTTCGTATTGGTAAATCTCCTGGTCGTGCTGAAACACCAAAAAAAAAAAAACTCAAATACTTGTTTTTCCAATTTAATATTTAAGAATCTATACTGGAGTAATAGTTTTTAGTTGCGTATCTAAAGCGTTTAAATTAGTGTTAGCCACTTATTATAATTTCTTCACTAGACATACAATTGTATATAATAATATGCTTATGGATTTTTATTATCAATAATGTAATGCATTAGTAACATTTTATACACATATTCAGCTTTTTTGAAAATAAGTTTAAAATTGCTAGTATCTTTGCAAAGGACAAATACTGATATTATCATCCAATTTTTTACAGTCATTTGAATAACAAATAATTAAAATGTATATTCAATTACACTTTTGTAATTTATATAGGTTATAGCAGTTTTAAAAACTTACGGGTATCAGGTTGTACAGGTGAAGGAAAAGCTGAAATTTCGAAAAAAATTACTTTAGTATTTTATTTATCCCAATGTATTATATGGCTCATTGTTCTAGGGCTACGTACACAATTGTTTTAATATGTATTCGTTTTAAATGGATTATTAGGTAGATATTTTTCTACTTTAATAATATAAATATTGCAAAAAGACACGTCCATTCAATTACAAAATAATACAGAAAATTGTCAATTTTTGTTTGTTTTCGAACGTGATCTAATTGATATACATTTTCATAAGAAATAAGCCCGAAGGTTATAATGAATCAAAAACTGACATTTTTCTATAATCAAATGTATGACCAAAATATGGTAGGTATATACACAATATGAATTTATGCTACTTATGTATTTAAAAAAAATATTGTTCTCTAATTTGTTTAAATTATTTTGGCCTTGGTCGTTAAATTATTTTTTAGTTTTTAGTTTTTTTTTTGACGCTTTATTTTTATAATTTAGTATCAGTAGTTATCAAAAAAAAATGTATTACAAATCGGAATTTTATGTAAAAAAGTAACATGTTTCTGTAAATATTAATTTTTTTTCGCGTAACTGAAAGTCAAAAAATTTGGGTTTGAAATCTAAAAAGTTGTATTTTTCGTAATGCCTAAAAATTGAGAATTATTCTTTTAATTTTATTCAGAAAGCTGAAGAAATATTACATAATTTGTGCATAGTTTCAAATTGGGATCTCCATAAAAACGCTTAGAAAACAAAATGAAATGAGGTATAAAAAAGGATAAAATAGAAGTAAAAGTTCATAGAAAAGTCGAAAGACGGGTAAAAACGACTACAGTATTCGAAATATTTGATATCATTAGGTTTAACGAAGATACAATAAAAAAAAAAAAATTATAAAAAAATGATATACTACTAAAAAAGTTGTTTGTACCTTCTGGATCGTCGATAGCTGATACACCCGACATCATTATTAATAATATGGTGGCTACAATATAAATTATACTTTTTAAATTCATTTTATTGAAGTAGTTAATATTACTTAACACCAAGGATGTTGTATACTATACTAGAGCAACGGTACGTTTGCTGCTTACATTATATAGAGCGATATGTTTGTCTTATTTCGTAGGCGAAGGGAGTGAACAATTTGTAATTATTTATGTATTGTTATTGCGCATGAGTTCATTGTTTGTTAAATACGTTTAGCAGAATGATGTTTTTTTATTGTTTTAGCATCTTATTTATTTAAGTTTTGCATCGAATAACATGAGTAATAATACTTTTTCCTCATCCTACCCTCCCGATCACGGGTGATGACATTTTTTTGTAAATTTAAGACCTTATAGTTGAAAATATCATGCGCGTGTATTGTTCAAATAATAACATGTTTTAATATTAAGCTAAAAAAATTGTAGGATACTCATGTACAAATACACGATATGTGCTGCACAAAATTCTAAAATGTTTGTCTTATTTTGTAGACGAAGGGAGTGAACAATTTGTAATTATTTATGTATTGTTATTGCGCATGAGTTCATTGTTTGTTAAATACGTTTAGCAGAATGATGTTTTTTTATTGTTTTAGCATCTTAATTATTTAAGTTTTGCGTCGAAGTAAATAACATGAGTCATAATACTTTTTCCTCACCCACCCCTCACCATCACAGGTGATGACATTTTTTTATTAGTTTAAGTCCTTATAGTTGAAAATATCGTGCGCGTGTATTGTTCAAATAATAACATGTTTTAATATGAAACTAAAAAAATTGTAGAACACTCATGTACAAATACATGATATGTGCTGCACAAAATTTGAAAATGTTTGTTTTATTTTGTACGTGAGTGTACACATATTTTAATGGTTTATGTATTGTTATTGTGTATGTGTTCATTGTTTGTTAAATATGTTTGGCCGAATGAAGTACATTTCATGTGCTATGGTTACGAATAAAACGTGTAAACAACACACAAAATTATTGTTTTTGGATTTAGAACCTGGTTTAATACAGTCATACTTTTTTTATTGTTTTAGCAACTTATTTATTTAAGTTTTGCAGCAATAATTGAATAACATATGAGTAATATTTTTCATACTGGTGGTAGGAAAACTAAAATGTGTAGGTTAGGATTTCATATACATTTTTAAAACAATTTAAGCTCGCATTTTCTTTCTTTTAGTTTGTTATACCCCTATATAACTTTCTAAGATTACAAATTTTACAAGTTTTTAATACAGCGTGCAATAATGTTGTCGATAATAATTAAAACAGTTCTTAATACAGATATACACAGTCTTGAACCCAGAAATTACCATTCGCCTTTTTTACCCATTACATATTTACTTAATGTATGAAAATTGAAAACTAAAGTTAGATAGATGTAGTGCTATGGCAACACTGTATTTCACCGCTGTATAGGAAATTAATTTATTACATTTTTTTTTTATATTACAATTTTTTTAGACATCTGTCGATTGTAGATTATAGTCCATAGAAAATATTGTTATCGTGTCATTTTATGCCTAATCATCCCTAAAGTGTGTGCTAGTGGATTTTCTAAATTCATACATTGTATGCGGGGTTAAAATATAATTATTTGAACTTATTATAAGCTGGCTTAATTAACTAATCTTTAGATAGGAGGAACACCTATTCATTACAAGGAGATTTAAATATTTTTATTTGTCTGTTAGTTGAAACTTTAACCTAAAATGTATTAGTTGGGTTAGATATGTATAATAAGTATTGGATAATACCATTTAAAAATTCGTCTATAATTATTGTAAAATCAGGGTTCTACTATGCAAGAAAATAAATAGTTCTAACATTTTAAGTACACAAATAATCAAACGCAGTACTTTAAAAAATAACTGGTTTTCCTAAAAAACAATAATATATTTTTATTAGTAGTTTTTGTGGGATTTAAAAATATTTGTTGCTATTTGAAAAAACTAGATCGATCATGTTTTACGTATACAAGTATGGACGTCGTTTTTTAAAGTATAATAACGTTTGAATTTTAAATTTACATCCATCACCGTTTATTTCCTACAAATTTGTAATTATATTATTGTAAAATCAGAGTTCATTGTTTCAAGAAAATAAATAGTTCAAACATTCAAGTACATATAAAACAAAACTAAATTGAGTTTGAGCTTGTGGAAACAAATTTATTAGAACTTGTTGAAGTTAGGTTAGGCCTTTTGGAGCTATATAAACAGCTCGATATTTTATATAGTCATAACTTAACTTTGACATGTTATTAATTGAGTTTTATTTTGAAATATCAAAATTAGTTAAGCCTAAATCATCAGGACGTTATTCATATCTGTTTTTTTCAAACATATGTGTGTATTTGTACATGAGTATAACACATATTTTTTTAGTTTAATATGAAAACATGTTATTATTTGAACAATACACGCGCACGATATTTTCAACTATAAGGTCTTAAAATTACATCTATATAAAAAAAAAATATCATCACCCGTGATGGTGGGAAGAGGGTGAGGTATAAATGTAATTAAAATTTAGGGCTACTGTTGTGAAGTCGTGGCATGATGATGTGGGATCTATAGAGATATAAGGTTTACTGTAGCTATATAACGCATATAATTTGAAAAGTATTTTTTTCATTCACTAGTTAATTACGATAAATGGTACAAACGATACATATTATGTATTTTAGGATTTATAGGAAAATATAAACAATTGTTACTATCCATAACACGTAAGTCGTATCAAGTAACGTAGCTAGAAATTTGTGCACCCCAGATTCAGTATATAGCTATGGAAATCCTTCTAAAAGATAGGCAGTTAAATCTTTTGTTTACACAAAAGCTAACGACAAATTGACTATTACAATTTGAACACAAAAAAAAAAAATGTGTTTCCTAGAAAACAAGTTGTACGTAGGTAACAAAATATTTGTGTAAGTATTGTTATTGGTGTTTATACAAAATTTATATTCGCTATATTTTTAGAAAAATATATTACAAATTGAAACATTATTTTGTAAATTAATTTATAGAATAAGTTTAATACGTTAAAAGAAATATTCTAAAACTATTACTACCAATTAACCTCGACTTAGATTATATTTTTACAATTATTTTTTAATTTTTATAATATTATTACAATGTAATTTGTTTCCCGTCTGAGTAGATTTAGCTACATAAAGAGCTTCTTAGAGTTAAACAAAATTATATGTATTCGATTAGTGCACAACAACTGGTGTAATGTAAACAAATGACGAATGTCTGTTGGTATCATAAAGATTCAACTTTATTATTGCTCTTTGGAAAAAACCAGTTGTTTTCATATTTTGTTTTGTCGTTTGTGTACTTAGGTATTTAAACCAGTTTTTAAACAACATTTTGCTGTAATAACCGATAACACTTTTAAGTTTTACATATATGGGTGTGTGCTATAATTATTGTAACATCAAGGTTATCAATGTTGTATCCTTGATCTATTGTGGTAGAGTAATACTATGATAATGTCTTAGGGAAGATAAAAAAACCTATATGTTTCAATATTTTTCGTTATTGGTGAATAAAACCTAATTAATTCGTATGCAAGATAGGAAGTATTATTTAAATATATATACATATATTCGTGTGTATTTGTATTCCTCCTGAAAAGCCTTATATTCCATCAAATCCAAACAAATCCTAAAGAAGTTTCAATTCAGCTTCGCGTCTCGCAACAGCTATTAGTTTTAAATTACTATTAATAATTTGGCAAACATATTTTTCTATTCTACTCAATATTCATAAAGCTTATTCATTTCCTCAATTTATTTTATGAAATGAAGATAGGAATTAATGTTGAATTTACAAAATATAATTATTGGTAAAGTTAGTAAATATGAATTTAACAGGCAAATTCAAAACTATATGTTTTTCTTTTTAAATTTGGTCAAATGTAATATACATTTTTAAAACATTGAAGGTACATTTCGAGTAAAATAACGAGGGAAATGATACTATGACCAAAATAAAGTTAAGTTAAGTCAACAGGTGTCTTAAAAATGTTTAATATGAAAAAAATGTAATTAATTAATTTCAAATACGGCCGTGAAATAACAGTGTTGCCATTACACTTGATTTATCTTCACTAAAACGTTGTAGTGATGTATAGGCGAAGAAGAAGTGTTTGGTCGATATCAAACTAAAACAAATAAAATGCCGGGCTTAAGACTTTTTTAAAAAAAAAGGTATAGTTTGGCTGTATTAAACTAGGTTTTACAACCAACCTAACCTAACTTTGTGGTTTTTTTATTTGTAACAATAGCACACAACATGTACTTTTTTGGCCAAACATTTTAGCAAAATATGAACAAATACTGTATACACAATTACAATACCTACATAAACAATAAACAATGTACACTCCCTCCACCTACCAAACGAGACAAATATTTTAAAATTTTGTGCGGTACATATCTCTCTATATAATGTAAGCAGCAAACTTTCTGTTGCTTTAGTATAGTATTCTACATCCTTGGTGTTTAGTTATATTAACTACTTGAAAAAATGAATTTGAAAAGCATAATTTGTATTTTAGCCACCATATTTTGTATAATGATGTCGGGTGTAACAGCTCCATATCCAACAGGTATAAAAAACATTTTTAGTATATATATTTTTTTTAGTATCTTCAGCCAACAAAATGATTTCGAACACTGTGGTCGTTTTTACCAGTTTTTTCGACTTATGTATGAAATTTTACCTTTTTAATACCTCATTTTCATTTTTTTAAGTTATATGATTATTAGTAATACATTATATAGCTTTGTTTATTCAGTATCACAATTATTTTACACATATATCTTATACGTGAAACATATACATGGCTATAATAAAACTAATCGCTTTTGGATTAAAATAAAAAAATATAATTTATACACAAGGATAAAAACAAGTAATTATTTTTTCATTATTTCAGGTGACCCGAAAGTTGAACGTAAGTAAATGGATAATATTAGTTTATGTGCTTTACAAATATAATAGCAGTTTTAAAATTATTTTTAATAAAGCTTAAAATGTGTAAAAAATGCTATAATTATTCGCCCTTCTTGTTGGTTTACTTTAATTTTATTCCTAAAATTTATATTTTATTTAGCATTTTAATAACTACATATTTAAGATACTATTTAAGAATATGAATTTTAAAAGCGTAATTCTAATTATTATAACAACCGTGTTATGCATTATCATATCTATGTCTAAAGGTAGGTACATAAAAAACATTTGATATACAAATGTAACAATAATGAAGCTTTGTTAAAATAAAACGCTTTTCCATATGAGTAAAATATTTTTAGTATGACATATTATGATTTTTTTAGAAAAATAAATTCAAAACTTTACTTATACTCATTAGGTTATTTATATTATACAAATCCTTCAATCGATTTTTTTTCACTATTTCAGGTGACCCGGGTCAACCTCCTATACGTAAGTTATTTGATAATATCTGTTTATATGCTTTACAAATAAACTAGCAGTTTTTTATATTGTTTTCAATAAAGCTTAAAATGTGTATAAAATGCTACAAATGTCTTAAATTATCGAAAATAAGAATACGTTTGCCATGTTCATAAACATATTGTATAAGTTTGCATATCCAGTTATAATATTATTTTATGAATATTACATGTAGCTATAATAAAATTAAATGGTTTTGGATCAAAAGAATAATTATATATTTATTAATATATATATAATTTTGACTTGATGTATTAGGGGGAAAAAAAATGTAAGTAATTTGTTTTCGATTTTGCAGCGGATACCCCACCCTCCGGACCAGTAGGAATAATACCACTACCACTACCACCAACACCACCACAAGTACCACAACCACCAACAACATAAAAGCCACTACAACCATGACCAAGACTATAAATGTGTAATTCAATATGCATTTGTATCATTTGTTTTTCAAATAACTGTAAGTTGGTTAATTTTATAAGTCATTGTGCTGTACTTAGTAATATAAAGGAGTCTAACTTAATTTGAACTAAAATTCACGTGCAAGCTAATTTTAAATAAACGATTTTTTCCACAATATTTTAATACAACATTTTTTTTAACTAAAAAATTAATCCCAGATAACAATTCAATTTACAAACAAAACTGCAGTATCCAAGATCCGTGTCAAATCCTGAAAATTCGTATGCTGACCAATATGTGTATATTGTAAAATGTTCATTATTGTTTATCATAATTGTGTTTCAACCTTTTTTTCTAATTACAATGTATTTCAAAAAACATTATATTTGTTACCTGTCGTATAAATGACATTATGTCTATTACATATAAACCTACCTACCAATAAAAATAATATTCACCGAATAAGTAAATTTGTGTTTTATTGTCTAATCAATTCCAACGATTTTTACTTCTACTCTACCTCTTATTTTGAATTTTTTATTATAAAATGTCTACGGAAATGCGGTAAATAGTGTCAATTGTTTAACTTTATAAGTTATAACAAATACAAGTATACCATAAATAATTAATTTTGATTATTTACCATTTATACTCTTTATGCACTTGATTGAACCTTGATAATAATAATAAATCTTAACATTTATTTCAATATTCCTACCATTGCTGAAATGTTCTGTTATATAAATACATTTTAAGAAAAACAGTTTTAAAAGTTTATCATTTATACAAAAGGTTTCGTACAAATTTCAAACAAATCAAAACTATTATCACATTTTTTGGGTTTTTTGTGTTGTATCTGATAATTATTATTAAAATAATTAAGCTTTCTTTATTGGTGACTTTATTATTAAATATCACTTCATTCGTTCCTCAAAAGAAATCGATTGTTTAATTGTTGTGTAGGTTAGGCTGCCTCTCCTTTTTTTCAGACGCTCCATAATAATTCTGAACTTTGTATCCATTTTGTTTTATCATTTACGATTTGTATCGTTTGATAATGTAAACAAATGACAAAAATGTGTTGGCAACACATTTTTTATATTTTCAAGTAAAGAGGACTCTACACTTGCGATTTTTTGGTCAAAAACACCAATTTTACTTTTTCATACAATTTTTAAGGCATCGATCGTGGCATTATATTAAAATTATTTTCAGATATTTCTCTGTAAAATACTGCGGTTTTTAACTTTTTTTAACTGAAATAATTATTAACAAAAACAAATTTCAAAATTGTCCCACGATCGATACCTTAAAAATGAATGATAAAGGCTTCAAATGTTTTTTCAAAACTTAAATCAAAGCATTCTTAGTAACATTACGCTTGAAGTAGAAACACAGGTTTTTCTCTCATGATAGTGCCATATTGTTCCAAAAATATAGCGAATACAAATTTGTTATAAAAACCAATAACAAAACTTACTTTAAAATATTATTTTAGTGAACTTATATTTTCCATGATTAAAGTTACTATAAACATTAAGCAACTACACGTAAACTACACAATTACTCGCAAATAGTTTAATTAGTTGGCTTTAAGCCAAAGGTTTGAAAAATAAGACTGGAGGTACATTAAGAGTAAGACTAAAATCTACGATTATTGTAGGAAATCCAATATAGTGGGGGCACATTTTTAAAACATATTTTTTCTTGTAGCTAACATGCATAGCTTTTGTAGGTAGTACATGCGTTTTATCATGTAAAAGTTGAAAAAGTTATTATATTTATTTTATTGGACTGCACTGGACCGATCTAGCCCAATAAAATAAATATAATAACATTCTTCTACATCGATAAAAGTAAGAATTACAATCTTATTCAAAATGTATATTATTCTACGACTATTCGAATACTCAAATCTTTAAAAATAATATATATATATATATATATAATTATTGAAGTATCAAGATGCTTTCGTGCAAGAAATAAAATAGGTCAAACATATAAATACAAAAACAACTGCAAAACAAAATATATTAAGAAAAACACCTCGTTTTGAATAAAAAAAATAAAAAATAAAACCATACAAATTGTTTTTGTAAAATACGAAGATTCTTATAATATTCACAGTTTGTGATACCTATAGGAACTTACTATTTGTTTACATTACAACAGTCGCTGTAAAATCAACTTGGTTTTGATAAAAAAAAAACAATAATACAATAATGGATTACAATTTACACGATAAATGATTTTACAAAAGCTCCTTGTAATTATAAAACATACTTGATTTAGGAACGCAATACATTGACTGTATGTAAGTATAAAAAAATAGGTACTCGCCACAGTTATTATAACAATAACGTTTTACTATGCATTCAAACACAAGCATCGGAAATAAGTTTGTTACAAAAAAAGGCTCGTTTTTTTCATTCGTTTACACTGCCTCAATCGAAGCAGATAACAATTTACCTTCAACTAAAAAAAACTACTAAAATGTCTTTGTTTAACATGTTATGGATACATGTGAGCTCTAACAACTGACAAATTTTCAACTTAAACGTCCTGAAATTACGGCTTAAAAACCAAAAATATATAAAAAACTTGCCCATCCCCCCCTAGGGGGCTAAAGAAAAGGTTTTAAAAATAAGACTGAAGTTTTAGCTCACCGTAAATTTTAAGTTTAATAGTTTTCGATTTTGAAATGAGAAAGGGGTGAAATGTTTACATTTTTGACCTAACAAAGTTTTTTTCAAGTAAGATCTGATTTCTAAACATTCTACATGAAAAAATCAGATTAGCGGACTAACCGCCAAGAAAAAAAAACCAGTACAGTGGGGTCGGGGCATAGTGGGGATGGGAAGGTCCCAGGTTTACTGGAATTTTTAAATCTGAAAGTGATAAAATCACTTTCGAAAAAACGCTTCGATGCAAATCGGTAGTTAGTATTTTCAAGCCAGTACAGTCCAAACCAAGTACAGTATTAACCATCAAAGTCAGAAAGTTTTAAATTGAGGTTCTGTATTTACAAATAAGCGTCAAAGCGTTTATTTGAAAGTGATTTCATTCAATTTTATCACTTTTATTTATAATAATTCCTGTAGACCTGTGACCTCTCCGTCTCCACGTTGCTTTGATTCCGTCATGCCTATACTCTACTATACTAGTCCTCTCGGATAAAATCACAATGATAGAGGAATCCTATTATACAAGACTGGATAAAAATCCAATTCAAAAACTTTCACGCAAATCTCAATACATCCGATGGCGCACGTTTCTACAACCTGGGAAACAAAATGAAAAATCGGCGTTTAAAACCACGTCTACCGCAAGATCTTCTTCTAAGTAAAGATTGGATCTAAAGTATTTCTCTTACGTACTTAAATTGGGTAAAATAAAAGTATATTTTTATGAATATATATTTTTTATTATAATATATTCGTATATGTATTGTTTCGACAATGTGAACATTTACTATGTAGCTTTTGCTTATCATGTATATTTAAAGTGATTTTTTTTCCTAGTCCTCTTTATTCATATCTACCTCTGCCTGCATGTAATTATATGTCTTAAGTGGTGCGAAATACATTATTTAATAAAGATATTTTAATTAAAAATACAAGTTAAATTTATAAGATATTAACGATTAGACATTTATGGGTTAATATTTTCCCTTATTGGTGAATTTATAAAATAAAACTATTGATAAAGTTACCAAGTATGAATTTAACAGGAAAATTCAACACGTTATGTTATTCCTTTTAAATCAGGTTAATTGTAATACAATTTTGAAACAAATTTTTGAATGATTAAAATATTATTCAGATAAACGATGAATGTAGATTTATTCATACATAGCGACTTGGAAATTTAATTAGTTTTATCCGAGAGGACTAGTACAGTAGAGTATTGGCATAATGTAATCAAAGCAATGAGGAAACGGAGAGGTCACAGGACTACAAGAATTATTATAAATAAAAGTGATAAAATTGAATAAAATCGCTTTCAAATAAACGCTTTGATGCTCATTTGTAAATACAAAACCTTCATTTAAAACTTTCTAACTTTGCTGGTTTATACTGTGCCTGGTTTGGACTGTACTGGCTTGAAAATACTAACTACCGATTTGCATCGAAGCGTTTTTTCGAAAGTGATTTTATCACTTTCAGAAACAAAAATTCCTGTAAACCTGTGACCTCCCCGCCACCACTATGCCCTGACCCAACTAAGCTCCGTCCCCACTATGCCCCGACCCTACTGTACTGGTTTTTTTTTTACCTTAAATACGCTCAAAAAAGTTATATACAGAGCTTTTGAATCGCCAGACACATTTCTTCGAGTAACATATCTCTATAGATCACACATCATCATGCAGTGCCCCCACAACAGTAGCGTCAATTTTTAATAATACTTTTCCCTCAACCTACCCTGCCCATCACGGTTGATGACATTTTTTTTTGATAGATGTAGTTTTAAGATCTTATAGTTGAAAATATCGTGCGCGTGTATTGTTCAAATAATAACATGTTTTCATATTAAACTAAAAAAAAATATGTAGGATACACATGTACAAATACATAGGTTTGAAAAAAAAAACAGATATGTGTAACGTTCTGATGACTAAAGCTTAACTAAATTTGATATCAAAATGTTCTTACTTCTTAGTAAATTTGATTCCACAAGCTCAAAATCAAAGTGTTTAGTTTTGTCTTTTATCTACTAAAATGTTAGAACTATTTATTTTCTTGTATTATAGAACCCTGATTTTACAATAATATAATTACAAAGAATGTACATTTAAAATTCAAACGTTATTATACTTTAAAGTTAATTGTCTACACGTTTATAGAATTAAACCGTATGTTCCCATTTTTAAAAAAACACGTCCATACTTATGTAAAACAAGATCGACCTGGTTTTTCAGATCGCAACTGATATTTTTAAATGCTACAAAAACTACTAATAAAAAACTATTATTTTTTTTTCTCGAAATGAGTTGTTTTTTAAAGTATTGCGTTTTATTATTTGTGTACTTAAATGTTAGACTATTTATTTTCTTGCATAGTAGAACCCTTGATTTTACAATAATTATAGGTGAATTTTTAAATGGTATTATCCAATATTTATAATGCATTACAAACCCAACTTATACATTTTCCTAAGCATATTATATAAACAAAAAATACAAATAAAATCTACCTATCAGATAATATATTATAACTGTCTGCTATAAAATGAAATAAAATGTGATAAAGACACTATCTGGAAAAAGGCTTTTGATGCGTATCAGTAGATGGTATAAATATTAAACATCGTTAACACACGTGCATATAATAACCAAAGAGGAAAACCCCAACTGTAAACCTTGCCTAGTTCCTCTCACAATCAAACACATAATCGATAATTGCAAGGAATACGATTAAAAGCGCAACCGGTATGAAATTCGAAACAAGGTC